AATATGAATATGTGAATTATTAGTAAACACATGTCTAATTCGTTGTTGTTGACGTTTTGATTGATTTAAATTTTCTAAAAATGTTTTTGATATAACTGATGTACTATTTAAGGATTTTATATTAACTAATATTTAGCATTCATTGAGTATGTATTACTATTGACTAACAAAGCCGACCATTATATGACCCATTTAGTAATAGAGACAAAGAAAAATCTCAATAATTTTAAACAGTTATAGAATTTTCAATATTTTTTTCAATGTGCAGAAACAACATACGGCATTGCAAATTGCTGGCAGGAAGCCAAACGAAAGCCGTGCACCAGTGGGCATCATCATCGCCACAGTGATGATCCTGCAGGAGCAGCAGCATCCTCATTATGGCCATTGCCGCTCCGCTGGATGTTGCCTGGAGCAACAGAAGCGGGAAACTCAACGGCAACAAGCTGACACTCTGACAATGTTGGCGCCATTTTGCTGTTTGTCTTTCCTCTTGTAATAAAACGACATCCTCGACGGAGGAGGGTAATGGGATTGGGCTGGTCCTGATGCTGATGCTGATGATGACTCTCCGCCCGACTGAAGGGTGTTTTAAATACTTGAGGGACTCCTGTGCTGCTTCACAACGTAATCATCGTGGATGGGGCTTTTGTGTGGCACGTAGTCAGGACGCTTTGTCAGTTTTCCCGGGGCGGCGTCTCTGTTGTCAGCACTTTGCTCGACTTTTGTTGACAGATTGATTTTGATGTGTTTTCATTGTTATTGTTTGGCTGAGGGTCCTTTAAAGACAAACGCGGAGATGGGTTGTCCTTTTCCGCGCTGATTTCGGGGGAATCAGGTTCGGTTGAAGAGGCAACAAACATTTTAGCCTAATTGGTTGGCTCTTAAAGCGCTTTGACTAATTGACAAAAGGCTTTTCTATGGATTTACCAACTTAATGAACGCTCTGAATGGGTCTGGGTCTGGTCCTGAAATATTCATGCACTTTCATTTATTTAATTGAATGAGAAACGGCCTTCAATAACTCAGCCAGCGAACACAGAAAGGAACCTGGTCAGAGAGGAAAATGGGAAAACTTTGTTGCCTTCAGTCCAGTTAAATCACGGAAATCTGTGTTGTAACAAATCCTTTGGCCAGAGTTTTCCGCATTTTACTCATTGGTTGTTTGCCCAGCTTCGTCATTTACAGTCCAGCTTAACTAACTGGAACTTTAAGGAGTTTTACTTGACATTTAAAGACAGATTAAAAGTTTATACATTCTTATTTTTATCAAAACAATGTCTACGTTTGTTAGAAATGTATTAACATAAATGATGTCTTTAAATGCTTTTTGGATTAAATATAAGAGATCAAGGCCCATTTAATTATTTTCTGATAAATCTGGAGAATTAACTATCAAAAAGGTTTTAGCTCCCTTCAAGAATTTAACATGGAAACTTTCATTGAACACTTAAAACTGCAATTAAAATAGTTATATCCGAAAAATGTCATTTACAGATAGTAAATTGTTTGGGAAACTTTACGAGGTGATAAATTTCAGAATCTTGATCATAAAATTAAAGTCAAAGTTTTGCAATTTTGAAAAATATGATTATTTAGTTACAAGTCAAACTCCTTCTAAAGCCAATTGCTAGTTCGAGCTATCGAAGTTGGCCTGTAATTAAATCCAATTAAATGGGCTGAGGTTTTTGGACCAAGTCGGGCGTCCAAAGCGCCCAGTCAGCTTTATCGAAGCGTATTATAAAGCCACAAAACCCGCTCGGCAGGAGCATCAAATGGAATGAAATCCAATCAAATCGATACAAAATACTGTATAAAGCCAAAGGTCGAGGAGAAGGAGAAGGAGGAGTCTGCCAGAATCCTGTTGCCCGATGCCAGGAATTTCTGTTATTTTCCTTCTTTTTTCTGCCTGCGGCATTGCTCATACGCAACGTTGCCCCCAAATCAATTGAAATAAAAGGGATACACATGGTTCTGCCTATGTGTGTGAGTACTGTGTGTGAGAAGAAGTTGTTTTTCACATATTTGCTTTTTCCTGCGGCAACAAGGACTGTGATTTTCATTGCCCTTGTACAGCTCCCTTGTATTTATTTGTCTGGTTGTTATTGGCAGCTTAGTCGTGCGTGTGGGCCACGATTAAAGTTGGTCAATTGTCACGTCCTCTGGTCAGCGATTAAAAGCCCTTCGATGGGGCGCAAACTTAAAGCTGCCCACCGATTTTGCCTTGACAACGGGTTAAGTAACAAACATATTCCCGGATCGATGTGAAAAACATACCACTTCTGCCTTAACGCTATCTCAACTAAAAAGTATTGCTCGATTCGATAAGGAGTATGGTCTGTTTGCTTAGTGCGATAAGGGAAATGTCTTATCTAAGGTTTCTTTAAAAACGAATTTCGGCTTGGTGAGGCAGCTAAGTGATTAGAAATGTAAAGACTTTTGGAATATATAGGGGGATATTACCCACAAATCATAAACATTCTTATCCCTTTACTTCCTACTTAATTTTATCTTTCACTTACAAAAAATTGTATGTGTTCTGCACATGTTAACGTAAACATTTGTGTTTCTGTTTTCATATAGTTTGTCAATTTCAATATTTTGATTTGGTAGCTTGCCAAAGAGTCGCGTCTTAGGCGCTTAAGTTTTCGCTGTTCACATTTAATTAGGACGTGTGTTTCGTTGGGAAACACTACGGACAGATGTCCGACAAATACAAGTATATACATATATAGTCTATAGTGAATTTTCGTGTTTTATTATCGACGAACTTGAAAGGGGAAACATTTGGCGGCAAAGTAAATGTCAACGCAGGGTTCTATAATTAAAACCGAAAATAAAAATGTATTTTCGTCGGCAACTTACGCGTGAAATAGGCTAATAAGTGGGCCCTAATATGCCGCCTCCTTTGATTTGGATGTTTGGTGTTATTTGTTGCAGACCGTCGAAATTTATGTTCGAGATTTCAGACCGATTCGTTCCAATTCACCCGACAAAATGAACCGCTAGCACGTTTTTTCAAACAAATACAGCTTTTACAGGCTTTTGAAACGTATATGTATCGAAATGTTATTAAAACAATATGGTTTTAGAAGAAAGCGAAATATTTTTCGTGATTTTAGGGTCGACGGTGTTTAGGAATCCGATGTCTTTCGTGATAATTTTTTAATGGCAAACGGCAACACATTGAAATGCAATGAGCAAATGAACGTTGCTTAAATAGTTCGCCGGTGGAACTCAAACTCAAACTCAGTCGCTTCCAATCTCTCTCCCAATCTGTTCTACTCATTCATTGAGTGGATTTCAGTTCATTGGGCTCTAAAGTTCTCTCTGCAGAGCACTCAGTATCAACAGCGGATTTAGTACCCTTAACAGCGGATTTATTAAATGAGCACTATATATCAGTAAAAAGAATAAACAAATAAAGCTGATATCTAAATGACTAGTATACCTAACTAAATTTTTTTAGATTTAAAAATAAGGTACATACATATGTAACAAACCTAAAAGACGTTTGCGTTTAAAAATAATTTATTTTATTAATATAGAAACATTATAAAATAAGTAAAGTTTTTATGTTTTTGAATACATAAATCATCATACATAAATATCCAAAAAAAAATCATATCCAAAAGTGCCATTAGGGTTTTCAAATCATTTATTAAGGCATCTAAAAGTATGCAATAATATATATAAAATCTTAATATTATTTCAAATAAAACCACTGTTAATGCGAGTATTCTAAATTTCCGTTATCATGAGTGCCCAGCGTATTAATAATTGAGTCAAAACTCGAAAAAGTAGAGAGTTTTTGGAGCCGAGGGAGAGAAAGATAACGTTTTGGGGAGAGCGAGCGAGTGAAAGTGGGGCCTCCGTTGTAAACAAACCAATCCAACCCCTCCATTGCAGTTTCCACTCGCAATTTGGATACTTGTAACACTCGGGTGGGTGGACAACCCAAAAATCCGTGGGGCGGTCGCTCAGTAATTTTAGAGTGGAAATGCGGAGTGAAAGCGTGAGCGAGCTTTTCCCTTTGCGATAACAGGGGTCACAAATGCGGTTGATAAGATAGTAATATGTTCCGACTCAAGGCTTTATTTTAGTCTAATCAGGAGAACATAAACATATGTGTTTTTGTTACAAACAACGCTCCAACTTCGGTCCGTCTTTTATCAGCTGCGAAAATGTTCTGTTATGTTTTGATGGTCGTGTGGGTCTCGAAAAACGCTGGCTTGCAGTCTCAGTCACTTGGTTTAGTTAATGAGCCAGCCGACAGTCCAATGAACCGCGTGGGTTATTCGGTTTTCCTGTTTATTTCCATTTTAACCTGACTCAGCATTTGAACTTTGTAACATTCGTAACGTATCTGCGCTGTTAAGCATAACAGTACACTTTTAAATAAGCCAGGGCTCAACGATTTGCCGCGCAAATAAAATACAGCCAGCTTTTAGGCACTGTTATAGAAACTGCAAGCTGTTTTACGTATTACTTATAAGGTTAATTTTCACCTTTAGCCATAATTCGGGTGTTAGTAACTTAACTTAATTTTAAAACCTGTTCCCTTATTCGTAATAAAAAAAAACCATGTGTAATCTTTTGTAAAATGTAATTTTTTCTTTGTGAAGAAGTCCCTTATTCTGTTTGTAAAAAAAAGGAACATTTCATCGGTAGAAACGTGTAAACACCACGGTCTTTAATTAAATTTTATAATTGTAACGTCCTTGCACTGTTAAAAACAACAGTCTAGTGCTGCAAAATACTGCAAGTGACTTGGCGCGAAACAAAATATACCAAATGCTTTTGAACATGTTAAACATAATTTTTCATTGTCTATTAAATGTAATATAGATTAGTCTGAGGGAAGCCTGCCATCATTAATCTTCTTAAAAACCCTAAGAAACATTCAAAATCGGCAATAAAGTTCAAAAACCACCCAAAGACAGATATTTTTGGTATACAGCTGTATATATTGCACATCAGGCATGCTGGTGCGATTGACATTCGGTCACACTAAGAGTTACATATGTTTATTCATAAAAAAGTAGAACTTTTATAAATAAAAGAAGATTTGTGGCGAATCGAGCCACAGGTTGAAGCCCTGTAGAATATAGATATAAAAGATATAGGAGTCGGACTTTGCCGGGGAGGAACCGAGAATCGAGCACCATGAACGGAAGGTGAGGCGTGGAGCACCGGCGAATGTATCTATCGAATCTACCCCATCTATATTTAAATCCACCAGCAGCGTTGCGGAGCCTCCGGATTTCCAGGCGGCCACGGCAGCCGCGGCGGCAGCTGCAAGGGCCAGTAGCTCGGAGCAGGACGAGTGGATCGTGAGCGAGTGCGGGTTCCTGGATCCGGAGGTGCAGCGCACTATGAGGAGCGGCAGTGCCGCCGAGGACATCACCCAGTACCCGATGCACGGCTGGGTGGACGTCACACGGGAGTTCCACGACGCCTGCGCCGAACTGCAGCCCGGCGAACTGGCCCAGGACATGCTCTTCGGATTGTTCGAGGCCATGTCGGCCATAGAGATCATGGATCCCAAGATGGACGTGGGCATGGGCTTTGACAAGCAGGACCTGCCACCGCCCTCGTTTGAGGCAGCCATTGCAGTGAGATTCGCCTTTATTACACATCATTATATCCTTTAATTCCCGTTTCATTCCAGACTGGCGCCATCAAGCTGGACGATCTCACGCCCTCCGAACTGATTGGCATTTATGATGCCTTGTTTTCCTGCCTGGTGTCCTGGCTGGAGGGCAACTCCATGGACCAGGTGCTCTTCACCTGCCTCTACCTGCACGCTCCCTCGCAGATCAAGGACAACGCGCTGCGCGTCTTCTGCACGGCCGTGCGCAATCTCATTGTAGTCATCAAGAACATCATCGCCGTGGCCGCCGTCAACGAGGAGGAGGACTTCCAGCTGTACGGAAACTCCGCTCTTTTGGCCGCGGAAAAGGCCCAGCCTGCCGCTGTCTACAGTTCGCTCAAGGATGTGGAGGACCAGCTTGTGCGGAAGTGCAAGAAGCTGACGGCCACGGAGGACTGGATGGCCGTGGTGCACCGGCTGCGTTTTATGCGCCACCTCTTCCAGGTCATCTACCATGTGGAGCAGATGGCCAGCAACGACACCGTCGACGACAAGGTGGACATCTACAAAATCCTTCTTGTGGCCTCGGAAATGTTGCCGGGCATAAGGAACACCCTGGATCGGGGAACCCAACCCGAGAAGGGCTGTAAGTTGTCCGCAACAATTTCCTTCTATAATTTTAAAAACATTTTCTCCTTTAATATCCAGCTGAAGCACCCAATCCCATGGGCTTCTCGCCACGCATCCACGACCGCAGCCAACCGCCCGCCTTCCCGCGCAGCATCAAGATCAGGGATCGTCCGGCCAGCTATCAGTTTCTGGAGGAAATGATTTCCCGCTTTAAGTACGCCTGCAAAGTCACTAAGTATAAGGATTACTATTCGGCGCTGGTGTGTAAAATGTTGTATAACAACTAGAAGTAAATACTAATTGAATCCTCTTGCAGAACTTTTTCATCGAGTACAGCAAAAAGTCAGGCCAGTGCATCCTGTCCAGAAGCGTGCTGCAGAGTCTGTTCAGCGCCAACATGCGAATGGCGCATGGAAAGCTTCCCATGAAGCAGTTCCTGCGGTACTCGGTGCAAAACTTTAACTCGCCACCAGTGTTAAACGCGAAGCATGCAGTGGCCGCCGATCCCAAGGTGCAACAGCACCTGGAGAACTTCTTCCGTTATTGCATCAACATGAACACCTTCACCCAGTTCATCCGTATCTGCGGCTTCAATCGCGCCAGGCAACGCGATAAGCTGGCGCGCCTGATCGAGATCTTCGACCCCATCCAAGTGGATGCGGCGCGGCTTGACTCGATGATGAACCAACTGGCCAACGAGCGGGCGATGGAGGGCAACGAGCCCTTGGCCACCGCCCTGCGGCACAGCACCCACTTCTCCACCTGGGTGCTGTACAACTGCTTCCGTGCAATGCTGATCTTCCTGATGTCGGGCTTCGAACTGGAACTGTATGCCGTGCACGAGTTCCTCTACATCTACTGGTACCCGTACGAGTTCCTCATTGGCTTCCTGGTCTCCGCCCTGACACGCACGGAGAACATCCTGTTGGCCCAGGAGGAGTACGCTGATCACCAGAGCAAGATCCAGACGGGCGGCGGCGGAGCGTCCAAGAACCGCAAGGCCGCCAAGCCGAAAAAGAACAAGAAGCAGCAGCGACCCTACCGCGCCGAGATCGTCTTCTACCACGCCCTCCTCAGCCTCTGCGGCGGAATGTACAAGGCCATGGGCGCCTTGACCAAAGACGGGCGCGTGCGCCTGCCGCTGTCCAAGTTCGACAACGAGGAGATCCGCTACAATCGCCGCTTCCTGCCCTTCGCCGCGCTCACTAGTCCGCCACCCGTCTCGTACGCGGAGTTCAAAAACATCCGGGAGCACATGATGCGACCCAGCGTAGAGGATCTGTACACCTATGCGGCCAAGCACTTTGACCAGGCTCGCAATGTTCTCGAAAGTATTCAGAATCCCGATCAGGAGGTTAGTTAAAGGAGTATGATGTAATGATTAGAGATTAAAATGCGCTTCTTTCAGATGCTGGACCTCCTGCAAATAGCTCGGACAAACTTTGTGGTGATGAATGTGCTGGCCCGGGGCCACCAGAAGGAAGTGAAGCGCCAGCCGGAGTTTGACTTCTCCAAGCACAGCTACTTCCCAATCATCAAGCTGAAGTAGATGTTCATGTGTTCCGTAACTGACAAGAATAAAATTTATATGTATGCATTTTAATGTCAACTCTGCTCCTCTGCCACAATGTCCTGCTTGATGAGCAGCTCCTCCACGTAGCCCTCGATGGCACAGCTCTTGGCGCAAGTGTAAACCGCCAAAACGCCCCAATCTAGGTTTTCGTCTTCCAGCAGCGTCAGTGTTTGCGGCATAATCTGGAACTCGAGCTGGCGGGCTCCTCCACAATGGGTGCAATTGGGCAGCTCCTTAAGTTGATCCTCCACCGTTTGGGCAGTGTTAGCGATCCACAGAGGCTGGCCCCCGCGCTTGTATCTCACGATCTGATCGGGTTCCGCTGCCGTTTGCTTTTTGAACTGACGGAAGGTCTTGTCGTCGGCGGTCGCGGTGTTTCCAAAGTATTTGTCCATCTCAGCCTCGGGAACGTTGCTTAGGTCGCCCGTCTGACCACTGGCCTCCAGTTCCTGAAACTCGGCCAATCGAGCCTCGTCGTCTTTGTCATCCTTTCCAGATTCTATGGGATTAGTATCCATGACGATCTCGAATTCTGGGAAAACGATATGGGTTAGAGGTTTGGACGTTGGTCCGGCTGAAGCTCCGCAGTTTGGCTTGTGCTGTGGCCAGTGGGCACGCTGGTGTTCCGCGGAGCAGTAGTGGATGGCCTTACATTTGCTGCAGGCGTGTGGCGCATGGCAACCACAGGCGGCACACAGTTTCTTCAGGCAGGATATGGCGGGCTGGAAGAGAAGGCTAAATGTAATTAGGAGCTATGTCGAAATGATTCCTGCTCCTACCAAAGGATCTCCCACATCGCTAGGCTCCTCCTCCGAGAAGAACTTGTTTTTCTGCGGCAACTGTGACCTCAGCACCGTGAAATTTCTGAAACGAAGGGCATAATTTTAATCTCTTGTCAATCACCATAGTTGGACAGAATTACCCTGCACTCTGGGGCTCCTGGCAGTCGGGATTCCGGCAGAGGAACACATAGATCGACCGGTGAAAGTTAAACTCATCCTCGAAAGGAGCGTAAAGTTGGACCAGGAAGGATTTTGGCGCCTGGCACTTGCTGCACTGCAACTGCGACGTGGTCGGCAGGACCTCCAGTTCCAGCCAAGCGGGTTGTCCACCCAGCTTGCTTGGGAAGTAGCGGTTGCTCAGCCAGGCGGCATCATCGCTCTTTTCAGCAAATCCCAAGTCAATTTCCATGTTTAATAAACTCGTGTTCGGTGTGGCCGCATCTGGACCGCCAGAAAAGCCTACTTTGAAAATATACAAAAATCATATACCAACTGATATTTTGAGGGGAACCACATTGGATCTCTGAATGGATTTCTTACGATGGTAGAAATAATGATCACCAAGTTTGAAACGAAAAAATACTACGCTATTACATGATCACCGATTACTTATCAAGTTTATCTAGCTGAACGCTCATGATACATTACGTAATCTTAAAACTAAAGGGACTGGTATCTGGCAGTGTCGTTTAACTAACCCCAAAAATTGTTTTTTAAAAATAAAAAAATTTATTACAGAATGGAGAACAGAATTCGTAGACACTTTAGATTATTTAAGATACAAAACATTTTAAATGAACAGTACCAGCACAAAATAAGCAAATTGAACCCCCATTTGTCTACGCCCGTGATAACAGAGCTTATTAACGGCCATATTTGGTATTTTTCGCGAACGCTTTTGACGCGATTGTCTGGATTTTTACCAATTCAGTATGCGGTTATCTCTCACAGTTAAAAGTTCTCCGAGCTGATTTAACTGATTTAATTTGTATTTTATTTACCATTGTGTGTGATAAACGCGTGTGAAAAACAAAGACTTTCCAATTACCTGCGAACACAAGCGGTTCACGGGCGAAAGTGCGAGTCACGAAAAACGAGCGGAAAAACGAGTTTTGATTTGATTTGATATTTGATTGTGAAAGCGCAGCAAGATTTGTCAACGCAAACAAGCAAGAAGAAGCGCCCACGGGATAGCGTAATATTTGTTAATAATAAAAGCATCAAAAACAACAACATCGCGGAAGCTGAATCCGACTTATCGTGCTGCCCGTATCCGTCGGAGGGCTAAAAATAAACCCACCCACGCTCCCCCGACCACAAATCGCACCCCCACACTCCGCCCACAATCCCCCCCACACCTACGCACAAATTTGGAGAGGTGAACTTGTGTTGACTTTTCCAGCACGCGGACTTTTCCGGAGGAAAATGCAAAAATGAGAGTTCGAGCAACCAGCAGACAACTGGGAATTTGCGTAAGTTTAAAGCGGATACTTCCTGGTTTTGGATTACAGGGTATCAGTGTGTTGCTTTGTTAGTGCGTGAACCAAAAAGGGTTGTACCCTACAGTGAACATGTTCACTTTGCTCGGTTATTGGATAAACTAGAAAGCGAATGAACATTTAAACAAGTGAACAAGTTTACAAATTAACCAGGAAACAGCAGATCGAAAAATAACAAATCAATAAAATTAAATATACTAAGTATTAAACATTCATTCAAAATTATGTTTATTTTTCTGAATATTGCAATGCAGCGGTATTATTTAAACCCGGGATTTGATACTACAATCAACATTATCATTCATCTTAGTCATCTTTTATAAAAACCTTCACTAAGGAACTGACCATTACAAGGTATTTCCAATTCGAAATCACAAATTTTTGGTTTGCCTTCTGGCTGCCAAAGAGCCGGGTGAGCTTTTATTTGCTAAATTTAGTGCCGCATTGCTGAAAATAAGAATGGGAGCACCCTGCCATCGGTTGCCGGTAGGCAGACACATATATAATCGCCCATAATGGCCAGTATATATAGCGTATCTCTCGTCAGGGCAGATGACTCGGCCAGCTGAAACTGTTGCATGGTTTATCCTGGCCTGGTGGCCAATCGATACTTTTGGAGCAGAGCCTCAGTGCAAACTTTGGACTCCTGCCTAAATCAATAAACGCCTCAAATCCCTGCCATATTGCGTCCATTGTAATGTCAGCACACATTCTCGGCCCAATCCAAAGGCATTTTTACTCGGCTGCAGGCATTTATGTGTCAACTCTGCGGAATCGACTGACAGGAGAGGCAATAAATATTGAAAATTCAATTACCCGTCATCCAGCCAGCTGAAATCCCATAAAATTATTATAACGTGAGTGCGAACATGGTTGTGCATCGCTCTCAGTTACTTAAAGTAAATAAATAAACACATCTTCTGACCACATTTACATTTTCAGTCAACCAGTTTCGTTGGCAGAGTCTTATTACTTTACCTTGCATGCTGGCTATTGATTTTAATTCGCCTTGTAATCAGTTTGCTTCATTTGGCCACTGAAATTATGTTTTTCCCATGAAAGCAACTGCTTTCTTTGGCCCCGCTTTCCTTTTCCCTCCGCTTTTTGTAAGCAAACAAATGGCTATTTGCACGCTGTAAAATATTAAATAAAATGCATTAGCTGGGCTTGCCATCAAATGCATGTACATATATTAAATTGATTTGGAGCTGGCACAAAGAAACTTTTTTCATTAGCTGTTGGTTCTTTGATTTGGCTGTTTCAAAGAAGAACCAAGTAATTACCATGCGCTTTACAATTGCAAAATAGTAAAACAAAAGCTATTAGATTTGTTTTATATATTTTACTGTCTGAACCTTACGAATTTTAGCCAGAGCAACTTTAGAGTAGCTTGTCAGTTCATTAAGCGTTTATATTATATTAAGAACAGTGAATTAACACAAGTAAATAAATTATAAAGTAGTTATAGGTTCGGCCCTTTCTTTAAATCTTAACTTAACTAGACGATATTGAAACCGGAAAGTGAACGTTTGACTGAGATTTAGATAAAGATAAGCGTAATTTGTTTTCTTATATATTTTTTATTTAGAACTAACTCTTATCACTCAACATTTTTGCTGGTGTCGCTTTCTGTTCCCTTTTCTGTTCCTCGCTCATTCACACCCTGATTTATTCGGTTCTTTTTACTTCCTTTTCGCTATTTACTCAGTTGGATGTGCTTGCAATTACACTTGTTTTTTCACGTCCGCTTTGGGTCTCATTCGCATTCTGATTGGAGCGCCAACCGCCAAGTGAGTCACTCCCCAAGGTTATTCAACGTAGCTCTCTCTTCCTCAAGTTCTCCATTTCTCCCAACTGCTACATATGTATGTACATATGTATATATCGCTTGCTTAAAGGCCAACGAACGATCTTTGGCTCACACGATAGCCGATATCAAGCTCACTTGTTCTTTTTAATTTAAAGTGCGGAGAGATAATGCCCAATCGATGTCATCGCAGGGCTTCTGGCGTTGCAATTGAGCATTTGTGGGCTTTCCTTCGGGTCGGCGAGAAGATAATACTTTATTCAAAGGGCAGTCATGAGTTAACCGTTTCCTTATTTACGATAATCTGCTAATTAAAGCTAAATATGTGGATAGTATTGAGATAGATTGATATTTACAAAAAAGATCTTAAGCTTCTGGAGGTTGAATTACTTTTTCCGTTCTTGGCTTTTGAAGCACTATACATATGTACATACATATGTACATTGTATGTATATACAATGGAAAAGCTTTTTTATATATAATTATGTATGTTTTTTATTTTTATATTCCCTTAGTCCAATTTTCTATAGGTCAAAGCAAATTGAAGGGCAAGTAGCGTTTAGCGACTACATCAGTATGTACATATGAATGTATTGTTCTTACGATTTTGGTAGATACGATAATACGAATTTCTTAATAACTCGGAACGAATTGTTGTGAAGCCCGCGTTTAAGGCGAATTTTTCAATAAATTCTGGCGAATTGTTCTATTCCAAATGTCTTAAACAGGCAATTTTCTCCAACTCGAAATCTCTTTTTATCAAATTTTACGTTGGCAAATGCATGATCTTTTTAGAGGTTTAACTGAAACGAAAAGATTAGACAAGCTTTAAAGCGATAAGAAATCTTGTACAAAATAACTTAAGATAATACACAAATTCTTAAATTTGGAATTGACTAAATTGCAAAAATTATCCATAATATTGCTGAAAATGATGGGAAAATCATTATAATAGGTTAACATTCAATATTTATAAATCTGTTAATTTGTATTTTTGAAAAATAGCGAGGAATGACGAAAACTTTGTTTATTTATTTAATTTAAAGGGGAATCCCCAATAAATAAAATATTCCACAAAAGAGGCACCCTGTCAATGAGTCAGATTCGCACCGCTATGAAATAATTTGTTGGTTATTATTGTTTCTACTAAAGTAAACTTAATCAGAGGTGAGCGTTCTGGTGAGCTTATTGTTGTCAACTGTTTTTGTCGTCGAGGGGGTTACTACTGGTTAGGTGCTATTCCGGCTGAGAGGAAATTGATAAGCACTACGGGAATGCCACTATCGATGACGGGCCACAATGGAAGCCACGGCGTGCCCATTGTTTGCTCTTATCTGGCCAGTTATTGTTACTCCACTCGAATAGTTACTAGCAGCGAGCATAGTTTTTATTTTTATTTACATATTTATTTGGTGCATGTTGCGTGCGTCATGCCGGGGGAAAAGATGTGATTCTGGTGATTCATGCCAGACAAGTGCATTCTCATCCTCTTGGTAGAAAATCGATAGCTATAGCAAGGGCTCAAGGCTCTCGAGATGTTTGCCGTAGTGTAACCTTGCGGTTTTGTTTTGCAGAAGCCGGAGGCGCCTTGAATGAGAGTCCTTAGCCCGACATGTCAGATTTCGTGCCGCGCGACCTCCTCCCCGATCTGTGGGAGGAGATACTCCGGCGCCACTGGATGTTCCTCGAAACGGAGGAGAGCATACAGAAGCTCGAGGAGCGCAAGCAGCTAGAGGGTAAGTTTGCAATCTAATCTGGGTACTGAGCGGGGCTTATCAATCCTGATTCACAGGCTGCCTGAAGGAGTTCCTCTGCGTGGTGCAGCACGATCGCAAGTTCTTTCTGCCGGAGACAGGGCGTGTCCTGCGGCGTTCTGTGCGCGAATTGCCCGACTTTTCGGCCCAGAACGCCATCGTCGCATTCGAGAAAATCAGTCAGTATGCCAACAACCTGTTCACGAAACCCTGGCGAAAGGAATATCGCACTCTCAAGGTAAGTACCAATAAATACTATTTTTCATCAGCCTTAAATGACCCTTACCATTATGTTTTTGTAGACCTACTCGGGATGCTTTCAGCACGACATCCAATCTCGCCTGATGGACGCAGAGCAGCTCTTTCTGGCCATGGGATATCGCAGAGTTTCCGAAGACACCTTTGTTCTGGAGGGACCCATCTGTCCGGATCAGGTGACGAATGTTTCACGCGATGCCATGGCCGCCTACGTGGAGTGCCAGATCATGAAGCACATCTATGCAGGTGTCACGGCAGCGGGATACAGTTGCAGTTGGAAGGATGTACTGCAGTATCGCGAGCGCCTAGTGGGCGGTACCACGCGAACCATTAAGGAGATGATTAGCCACCTGAGTGAGAAACGGATGCGGAAGGAGCAGCCGCCAGTGCAAGAGAATACATACAGCAACGTGGCGACAATTGCGCCAGCCGGCTGTGTTCTGCATGGCAACAACATGGCTCACCATCCCAGCAGCTCTGCCAGTTGCGCCCTGCATCCGAATGGCCTAAACATGGCCGGCAACGAGGTGGGGAAGTATATGCCGCCATATCCAGCGCTTCCGCCGCAGCAACCGCATCTGCCTGGTCCGTTGATGACGCATTCTCGCAGCTTGGAACACTACCAGGAGCCGCATGCCCATCTGCCGCATCGCCACTCCTTCGACCAGCAGCTCCAGCAGCAGTGTCAGCTGCCCCATCTCTACGAGGCGCCCTACGATTGCCTGGATGGCCTGAGCATGGGCAGCAGTGCCTCCTACGCGGCCGTGGCTGGTGCCTATAATGCTCCGGGAAATCGCTATCCGCTCCCGTACAACATCTCCAGCCAGCTGAATGCACCATATGCCTCGCCAGCCGACGTCTACGGCAGTGGGGAGCACACCAATATGTACGCCACGCTCGGAAAGACGGGCCCACCACACAGTTGCGATTACCACCGGCGTCAGCCGAGTAATTCAGCAGCTGCCGCCGCACTGGCGGCCATGCAGCATCGGCAGAGTACCTATCCGCCGGACCACCATCTCATCGACTTTGACGAACGGGCGCAACTGACCCAGCACGACTTCGGGACGCACGACTACGATCCCCAATATGCCGAGCTTCGGGGTCCAGTGCAGCCCAGTCTGCGTGGAAATCCGGCTGCAATGTATGCAACCTACGGCGGCTACGATCTGCCCACAACGTTGCCGCAAACGGCGCCGCCAACGAACCAGGATACGTACATCTATGCTCGTCCGGTGCCCAAGAGCAGCCGAATGCGGATGCTAGCCGAAGCGGGGGGCATTAATCCGACTGACAAGCATCCGCGATCAGCGGAAAAACAGGTTAGTTTTAGATGGTTTCTTGTCATGCATATACCTTCACTTACCCTTTTAATTTAAATCAGAATACGATGGACAATAATCGCAAGTTGCACAAGGAATTGAAGGAGCGGATAAGTCGAACGGCTCCTGCGAAGAGATCCGGAAACGAACGTGATATACCCACCACCATTTCCGACATGAACAGCTACGACTCGGCCAGTCTGGACGGTTTTGTGGCCCTGGAAAGCGCTTCGCCACCTTTGATGCCCAAGGTGCAGGAGGGCGTCGGCAGTTTCGAGTCGTGGAACTATGTATTCAAGAACCTCGAGCGTTCGGGATACACAAAGGACTTGGGCGACCGCGAAGACCTGCTCGTGCAAAGCCTGGACCTGGACTCGTTGGCCATAACGAATGGCGCAGCAGCTCCTCCGGCGGAAAAGAAGCGCGAGGCCGCGAAACCTACGAATGGCGAGAAGGCACGCACGCTAGAGAAGAAATCCGGAACGACACGACGCGAAGCTAAGGTTGTGGTGGCTCCGGCGCCAGGTCTTCTGCCCAACAGCAGCAGTGCCGGCGTTAAGAAGGTCAAATCCGCATTGAAAACGGCTATTGTAGACAATCGGGGAACAGGATCGCGTCATCGTTCGGGAGCTGTGCCCAAACAACAGCCGGCCGTATCCCCGCAGCTGATTGTGACCAGTCCGAACGAGTGGAGCTGCAGCTTCTGCACGTTTCTGAATCCGAACACCAAGCGCATCTGCGAGATGTGCTCTCACAGCAAGGACTTCAATCTTGAGGCCGCCACTGCGGCTTCCTCATCGGCGGCTGCAGCTGCAGCGGCGGCTGCCAGCGTTTCACATGCATCCTCGACGTGCGTCTAAGAGGTTGTCCATTAGGACCCGACCCTCGCCCCGTTAGTGATACAAACAGTGTATAGCTTGATATATTTTTTATACGACCAATGTAAGCCTGTGCGCGTGTCTCCAAGATCTAGTCTCGTAGTCGTCGTACGTTGGCAGGCAACCCTTTGTTATCCTGATGCAGTGGCATTCATAGGCCCATGGATCAGAGTGGATCGTGCTGCAGATGAGGGATATGTCTGCAGCCTGTACATACGAAGTATTCTAATTAGTTACCCCTACATGTAAACACACGCTTTAATTAGTTTTAGATTGTTTCCCCATTGTTAAGGGCGCTTCTGTTTCAAATTACGTGCCTCCCCGTATAAGTCATCTATATATATATATACAAAACATATAGACATTTATATATTTGTACGTGTGCATGCGTCGCAAAAAGCGAGAAAGAGAGAGTGAAATTTGAACTTGGAAATTTTCTAGGAAATCAACTGATAATTATATACCTTATACTAATAGTTGCATTCAATAATACGTATTTCCGACAGTAAATCAGCAGAGTACATAAAAGTTCTATACCGAAACTTGCATAGATAATACACCTATAGCCGTAACATAAGCGATTTCAATTCGAAGAACCGAGCTAAGCATAACGCAGAAAACAGAAAATAAATCGAACAGAACTGGTACGGGTTGTAAACTTAAAATTTTTGATTCAAATTTTACCAGAAAGGAGTCGTAGTACTCACTTCACTGTGCATGGACAGAAAAGAGTAAACCACAATTTGTAAAGCAAACTTGTCATCCCACCCACCCAAGCTTAATGAGCACTGTGTCCCAAAGCTAATTTGTTTGTTGAAATGTTACTATTGATTACCTGTTGAATAGCATCCCGGTATAAGCGAAAAGCACTCGAGATATTTTTATAAAGAAGCGAAACCACGTACCTATTGCTCTATGTTAAATAGTTTATTATACTTTTTTTTTGTACCTATGTTAGCGTTCCGATTCCCAAATGCTTTTCTGTATATACCACTTGCAAGAAAATTGAAAGGAAAAAATATCTAGACCGATAAAGAATTGAAATTAAACTTCATTAAAGCCATTTAGGCGCAACCTTCGCTCAAACCATTTTATTACATAACTTTGCATACTATTACCGAATGAATTTAGTGGCAGCTCTTCCTAAAAAAAACCCTTAACGAAAAAAAACAATAAATACAATTTTGACAAATCTATGCCTTGTTTGAATAGAAGGAATTTTCTTTTACTGACCAATTTCCATTCACTTTTACTTCACATTTAACACAAACGAAATAGAATACCATTATACAGTGTTTAAATTCAAAATGATACTGACCTTGGTTTTCCCGGTTATGTTACTACTGCCGATGACTTTCGGCTATAACTACTGTCACAACAATACCCATGTGTGCAACCTGTCCAAGAGAAAGCACTTTATGTGCCGATTGGACAAGGATCTTCCTTCCTTCGGCAACCACACGACATACCACGCCATGGTTCCGGACACCTCCAAACTGCATCTGAAAACGCTGGGCATACTAAACACCTTCCGGAACACGTTCGCCAGCGGGGATCTCATCACGAACAACAACAAGACGTTTGCGACTGCCAGGCGGATGCGCAGACTCATTTGGGACAATGAGCTGGCTTACATGGCCAGGACACATGCCTCCACCGTGTCCTTCAAACACTCCGAGTGCCGGTCCACCCTCCGATTCCCGATGGCTGGTGAGTGCCTGGCTCTCTTGCCTCCTTCCAAACAGAAGATCGGTCTGGTGGAGCTATTGACCAAAGCGTTTACACCGATGTTCGACGAGTATAAGGACGTTGAGGATCCGGATAGACTCCGAGTTGGCTACGACCCCTCCAAGTGAGCCAGGGTCATTTAGTGGGCTGAACTTAAGATAACCCTGAAATGATCCTACAGGGACTACTTCGTGGGTCACTTCACTACCATCATTAGTGATCGGGTTTCTCGGGTGGGCTGTGGTATTGCCGTGGGTTCCAATTGCCACGTGAACAATGATGTCGGGTGAGATTGGGGATCTTTCGACTTCGCCTGCATCCCTGAACCTTTCGATCCTCCAGCTTATGCCACTTCCTGACCTGCCACTTCGATTTCACCAACTTGGAGAACTCCTATGTCTATAAGGCTGGAAAGCCCGCCAGTTCATGCTTTGACTGGAAAACTGTTTCCAGCACTAAGTATGCCTTTCTGTGCTCTAACAACGGCGGTATTTTTTCCTAAGTGAGTGGATGGAAATGGTTCTTTAATAACCAACACCTTAATCTATATAATTTTACTCTTCAGGATTAGGGTGATAATGGGGGAACCCATTGACGTTCTTAATAAGTTTCTCTAAAATTCCCACGATCAATTTACAATTTTTACTGCTCTTGTTTACCTTAGATTTATAAGTCATTTCAAAGTTCACTTACCTTAACATCATATGAAGTAAAGCTAGAGTTTTCCATTGAACAATTTTTAAAAATTTATAGTAAAGATGATCTGGTGTCAAGTAATAACAGCGATCATTCTAATGGCGATGGTTCGCGGCTACAACTACTGCAACAACAGGACCCATAAGTGTGTCCTAGACGATAAAGAACACTTCATGTGCCGACTTCATAGCTTTCATCCCCTGGGCGGCAGTACCAAGTATCACGCCATCGTTCCGGACCTTCCGGAAATGCAAAATGAAATACTGAGTATACTCAACAAATTCCGTAACGCGTTCGCGTCCGGGGATTTCACCACGAAGGACAACAAGACATTTGCGAGTGCTAAGCGGATGCGGAAGATCATGTGGGACAAGGAACTGGCCTACATGGCTCGCACCCATGCGTCCACCGTGTCCTTCCAGCACTCCGAGTGCCGGTCCACGCTGCGATTCCCCTATGTGGGTGAGTGCTTGGCCATGATGACCCCCAAGAAAAAGCCCAGGATCCGCGATAGTTTTAAAAAGATGTTTAAAATGATGTTCGAGGAGTATCTGGAAGTCGAGGATCCGGATGGCCTGCTCAAGGGCTTCGACCCCATCAGGTAAGCTGAGTTAATTTTCAACTACGTGCCATGGATAACCTTAGGATGATCCTACAGAGACTACAAATGGGCACATTTCACTAACATCATCAGCGATCGAGTATCGCGCGTGGGATGTGGTCTTGCCGTGGGTTCCAACTGCCACCAAGGGTCATCCGTAAAGTGAGTATGGATTAGATGAATAAATAATTTGGCTATTCTGTAATTCGAATCACAGTACATATACCAAATCGTTTTCGATTCGAGAGAATACAATTATAACGAACTATAGAAACTAATTCTTTTGTTAGCTACTGCCACTTTCTGACCTGCCACTTCGACTTCGTCAACTTGAACGGTTCGTATGTCTATAAAGCTGGAGAACCGGCCAGTGCCTGCGATGACTGGAACACGACGGGCAGCACTCAGTATGCCAATCTCTGCAGAAACAAAGGCTTCATTTTCCCCCCCGTAAGTGTTATTCATTGCCCCACTGAAAATCCCATCACATTTACCTATCTCCGCAGAATCAAGGCGACATACCTACGTGAAATTCTTTTGTGATATATTCGTACATTTATATTTATTGTAAGCTGATGCTTAAAGGTTTTAAACTCTATTAAAAAATACTTTTAGCTTCCAAGAATCAATTCGAATAACAAGTATAAAAAAACGTCAATTGTAAATGGATCAGAAGTGCACTGACTTTTACATCAGAACAGACCCGAACGTATATGTAGTTATTTCATTAAACACACTTAAAATTCGAAGTAAAGATGATGTGGAGTCTAGTAATACCATTGGTATTGCTGTTGCCACTGGCTTCCAGCTACAACTACTGCCACAACAAGACCCACAGGTGTATCCTGGAGCACAAGGAGCACTTCATGTGCCGGCTGGGCAAGTTTCCTGTGTACGGCGAGCGGACCAAGTTTCATGCCATTGTTCCGTCCACCCGCAAATTTGAATCTATTATATTGGAAATCCTGAATAATTTACGAAACTCGTTGGCTGGCGGGGAGTTGAGGACGAATGCCAATAAGACGTTCGCGAAGGCGAAGAGGATGCGGAGGCTCATGTGGGATAGGGAACTGGCGCACATGGCACTCTCCCATGCCTCCACATTGTCCTTCAAGCACTCGGATTGCCGGTCCACCAAGAGATTTCCCCATGTCGGCGAATGCCTTGCTGTGGTGGCCCCCAAGGATAAGCTCAGTATCACGGAGATTTGTAAGAGGGCGATCCACTTGATGTTCGACGAATATAAGAACGTTACGGCACCGAGAAAACTTCTTAAGCGGTTCGACCCCGTCAGGTGAGCCTTGTGTTTAAGCCACCACATCACATCGATGTAATCCTGAGGTGACTCCAAAGGGACTACTACGTGGGACACTTCACTACCATTATCAGCGATCGGGTATCTCGCGTGGGCTGTGGCATTGCCGTGGCCTCCAACTGCCGCCAGGAGTCGTTCATCAAGTGAGTATGGTAGTATGACCGACCTCTGATCCCCTGTCCTCCGCTGCTCCTCCAGATTTTGCCATTTTGTGACCTGCCACTTCGACTTTAACAACGTGGAGAGTTCGTATGTCTATAAGGCTGGGGATCCCTGCTCTTCCTGCGATGACTGGGGAACACATGGCAGCGATAGGTATCCCAATCTGTGCATGAACACTGGAGTCCTTTTTCCGCCGGTAATTAGAAGGTATAAGCCCTCCTAAATATCATTGTAACCCACGTATTCCGCAGGATCAAGGCGACCATGGTGATTGAAAGGCCTTTTGTGAGGTGTTTAATATATTCGTACATTTATATATTTTCGTATGCTCTTGCCTAGGGGTTCCGAAGCACAGGAGACAAACTTTGAATACCTTCCAGAACCCAAAATACAATCCTTACAATTCCTACGATCCGTTTCGAATTAATATCTATGCTGATGCGAGTTTTGGGCTCTCTTCTTACACAGCTATTTGGAAAATGTATTTGTTGTTCGATTTTGCATTCTACTACGCATTTTACAAGTAATTTTCTAATTCCATCTAACAGCTAACAGACTTAGTCGGTTTTTGCTTTCTCTATCGTTCGTTTTTTGTGTTTTCCTGCGTAACTGCAATTTTCAAGATAGAATCAAGTGGATTTGTCGAGTGAAACCAGCTTAATCTTCGGAAACTATCTTCAGCATACACATAAAGCAAGATTCTAAATCAGGACCATATTAACCTTCAGACTAAGTTTTGCATTTTCGTTTTGTTCGAGTAAATAATTAAGGTTCGTATCGTCATTTCGATGAAGTTAACTTTCGCATTTGCAGAGTGCCTATAGGCCTTTGGTTTTCCCGAACCGCCACTGATCTGGGTCTAAAAACGGGCACAAAAGTGCCGACTTGCTTATTCTATGGTTTTGCTGATGTGGATATCATTGACTAGTAGTGTAATTTATGCGGGCCTTTCCGGTTTTGAGAGTACTTTCGCCTAGAACTCTACCAAATTGTTTTGAAAACGCTTTAGAGTTCTGTTTGGAGAATTTCCGGTTGCTTAGGGCACTGGAATGCCGCTCATCTAGCTCTCGACCCTTTGCTGTGGTCGTTCTCGATTCTCTACACATCTTCTGTACACTTAGAAAAATACATATAAATAGTATGGGGGGCAAAGCAGCAAGGGAATGCTTATGAAGAAGTCGGAAGGACAAGCTCAAAAGGTTGGGCAAAAGAATGGGATGTATAAACCTCCAAATAGTCACCGTTCAAGCGAATAAAGTCGCTAGAAAAAGAACACACTCAAGGATATTTAGATGTTCGTTTGCAAGGTGGGTATATTACCTATCAATTAATTTCGAAACTCGTTCCTCCCCCGTCCTAATTGTCCATACCGATTTTCCTAAGTCCTACGGCTAACACCAAAAATATATTTTTACCGCCTGATTCGCTGGTAGTTTTTCCCCTTTTTTCCCACTTTTAAAGCCCCTAAAGCGGCTGGCCAATTGGCATTCCATAAATGTTCCTCCCGATTCCCTATAATAACGTATATCAGTGCAGCATTACCTTAAAATAATGTGCAAACATTCAGTGCTAATTACGTGAAATTACGCCCTTTCTCAACATGTACAATACGGATAAATAATTGTAGTGTTTCAGCAAATCCTTGGGGAGTCCGTATGTCGATCCCCTCTACAATATGTTGCATCCCGAGCCGTGCATCACCTCGCTGATAAACATGGGCGTGCCAGCGCCCAGTCCTCCATCCGTCTTCTGGTGCTCGTTCTGGAGGAGATTGGAAGGGTTTTAGGGAGGAGGGAACATGGCTACTACTCCATTGAACTCACATCATCGTAGTCGCAGTCGAAGTAGTGACTTTGACAGTCCATGCAGCGACAGCTCTCCGACATTTTGCAGGTGATGCCCCACTGTTTGGCCAGGTCCTTGTAGATCTCCTTGCTCGTCTTGTTGCTCATCATCTCCGGCGTGAGCAGGCTGGTGTGGCAATTGGGCGACTGGCCCTGCTGCTGCTGCTGTCGCTGCCGCCGTCCACTGCGCCCGCTGCGGGATGCAGTCGATCCAGAGGCGGATCCGGTGCAGCAGGCCTCCTGGCACAGCTGCCCATTCCCAGAACCATTATCCGAATTCGCAAGGCCACCTGTAAAAGGGGATTCAATTAAATTGGTAGTAATGAAATGTTTCGGAGAACATTGCAGGTACAACTATTATTTTAAAAATCACAATTTTGGTACATAACTAATGAGTTTATAACTCAAACATTCGTGGAATAATGTGTAAATTCGATATATGTAATTTCAAACTGGCAAAATATTTTAGTTCATTTGACCTTTTTATCATGATCTTTTAATCAATCAAAACAGCAATTTAAAAGTCATGAAACTTGGCCTTGGTTTCCTACCTAAAATATTCGTTAGCTATATAACATATTACATATTATTGCATAAAGCTATTATACATAAACTTATTGGACTGCCAATGAATCTCTTACGGAATCTATTAAATCAAGAAAACACAGCCGCAATTCAAATGGAGCTCAAGAAACTACGGTTTTAATATGTAATGTTAAGACTCTACCGGTTTTAATATGTAAACATCTTCAGACTCTTCCGGTTTTAGATCTTACCCTCGCTGTAATTGGCGTAACTGCCTCGATTCAGGAGGGGATCGTAGAAGTTGTGGCCGCCTCCGGATGAGGCCGCCGCCTGGCTGCTTGTGCTGGCCGCATCCACGTCGAAGGTTGCCCCATGGCCGCCACCTTCTCCGCAAGCCCGCTCCTCGCTGCACTGGGCACACTGGTCGTCCTGGCACTGGCCACCCTGATCCTCATCCTCGCCTGCTCCCGCATACCGCTCCTCCGGACGGCGTGACGGTGATGCCGCCATCTCCGTCTCCAGCAGGAACTCGTTGATGCTCAGCTGCTCCTCGTTGTCGCTCCGCAGTTCCAGTTCGGTGACGCCCTCGAAGATCTGCTCACCGTCGTTGTTGTTGATGTTGTTCTGGTTGTGGTTGCTGTGGCTAGTGGCGCCGTTGTTGTTCAGATTCTGCCGGCAGTCCGGGTCATTGCAGATGCCGATGCCCGCGGCTCCTCCATTCCCTGCCAGCTGCTCCAAGGCGGCACTCAGCTGGGCGGCACTGTGCCGCGAGCTGTTCGCCGAGCTGCGCCGGCTGTTCTGGTTGGGAGTGGCGCTGTCCAGGGACAACTGTCGCTGGTGCTGGGACAGCCGAGTGTTCTGGATGGGAAAATCACAAAAGGAAGGACCATGGCCATGAAACATAGCATACTTCTAAGGGCTACTCGATTTGCAAACAAGAAGTGCCCAAAAAGAGAACCTTTTAATTACGGCAATACTTTGAAAATACTTTTATAATTTCAATCAGTTCACAAACTAAATATTCAATGTAAAATCATATACAATCATGTAAAATCATATACAACAAATGGAAAATAAATTAAAATCAAAAACAAATATTAAATAAATTCGAATCAAAAAGGTAAAAGAAGAACGGGATTGGATTGGATTAAAGTAAGTGTCTTAGAAGAACAAATTAGATAACCTAATTCTTAAGTTGTAAATATTAAATAATTTTAGTGCTGGATATCCTTGTTTATTCAGTCTTAATTCCCCAAAATACTCCATTTAAGATTAGGATTGCACCTACAGCTTCTCCTGGGACTCACCTCTTCTAGCACATGCTCGTAGGAAGGCGGTGGGGTTGTGGGCACGGTATCCGCATCCGTATCCGTCAATGACTCGTTGATGCACGGAGTGCGGCTCTGGTTAAGGTAACCTGCAATGAGCCGCAGGTTTAGCAACAAAGGTTTTGCAGCAACAAAGGTACATATATGCAATAATTCCTGTTTAGCTCAGACTTTATTTAGGAGATTCCAAAAAGGAGGTGAGTGCAATAGCGGAGGAAAGATTCGTGCGTGGAGTAGAATTTATTGGCAAAAATTAAGGATCTGTAACTACTTTGTTACCTAGTTACCTAGTGTGTGTGCTCGGGCATGCAATGTACTACACAGAGAAAAATACATGAAACATAGGGCTGCCATGGAAACTCTGTTAGGTTTAGCTTATAAGAATACTCCTATAACCTCATAGATGGGTTTAAAAGAGAACCAAATACTATTGAAATAAAAAATAGAATTTGAACTCAATATTTTCGTACTTATTTTTCTGTGCTACAAAATTATATGATATATAATATATTTGTGGGGATTAAAAATCGCTAAGAATGGTTTCAGAACTATGATGTGACACATTTTATAGACTCTTTATTATAGATTAGTTCTTATTACAAGAATTAGAAATATATATCAAACATTGATATAAGCAATATGCTTTTTCCTTTCTTGTTTAATAAAAATTTAGTTGTTAAGATCTAACCAAATCCTCAAAGGATATAACTATTTTAAACAAATTTTGAAATTGCTCATATATATTGTGTTGTGATGTCCCTAAGCTGCTGCCTCTTTTTTCTCTGTGTGTAGGTTGCTACTGTGTCGTCCTTACCCAATCGCATGCTGTTGCTGGTGGGCGGCAGGAGCAACTTGCGCTCGCTGCTCAGCTGCCCGAGACTGCTGGAGTCCGCGAGGTCGAGGCTGGAGCTGCTGCTGGCCTCCACTGCCTCCTGGAGGGGCTGCGGATGCGGATGCTGGTGCTGGTGCTGACCCTGCTGCTGCTGCTGGGCGCCCAGGAGCGCCTCGTTCACCTGCGGATCCGGGTCGTGCTCCTGCGAGGTGCTACGTGAGCTGCCCATCCGGAACTTGAGCTTGAAGGGCGCCATGTGGGTCCAGCTCCTCCTCCTCCTGCCTTGCAGCTGGCTTATGGTTACTTTTCTACTGCGATAGCTTTTCTATTCGAACAGACATTGGATGTGGCGGCAGACTTGACAACATCGAAAGTTACGGAAGAAGGTATAGAAATTACGAAAATTACAGAAATAGAACGAGTGAGAGAAGAAACGAGAGGGTGGAGGAGGATAATAGGTTTACAATTCTATATCAGAGGTGGTGACTTGATTACGAACAAAGAGTAATAAACACAGATTCCCCATCAGATTTACACCGATATTAATTGTATTGGTTCAACGAACATTTTGGTTTTTCAGCTCTTCTCGCTTTTTGATTAGTGGCATGCAATGGTTTTGATTTAGCTTAATTAAGGCTCAGCTTACAGCGCAAATTACCTGGTTGTCCGAAAGCAGTGACCTGTAATTAAATGATAGCAAAATTTCGCATATGAGTGACATAATTGAAGGCAGAACAGTTCAGTTAATGTAAAATTAAAAAATTGTTACTAAAGACAGCCCTATTTATATAGAGAGAGGGAGGATATAGATGGAGGATATAAAAATAAAGGAATATACTTGGGTACCGAGTGAGTTTTAAAAGGAGCGGGATTGTTTTATATTAGTGTTATATATTAGAAACCAAAAAAAAAGAAACTTATATTTATAAACCACTAATAAACTTTAATATTGTGTATTTGCTTTGCTTTCTTCAAAAATATCATTAAACTTTCCCAATTTTGTAAGAATTAACTGTCATTATAAATTATAGACATCTTTATTAAGAAAGAAAGACTAGTTAGACTTTAAATATGTTTTAAATTGATATTGATTTAATGCGTTCTTTAACATACATTTCAAACAAATATTATACAAAGGAGTTTTGATATATGCATTGCTATATAAAGTGTTTAATAAATATATTCAGCTAATCTCAAACAACACCTTGTTGTTATATAATTAATATAGATAATACCCACCCAATTTTCTTAGCATGCCTATTATTTTGGTCGCATCTGTTTCCCACAAAGAGATTGCAATTGACCGCTTTTGTACCCGCACACCTGAGCTGTTTATAGTTTCCGTGGGGGGGGGCGACAAGTAGTTGGATATTCGGGTAACCACCACACGACCACGCCCCTTTCCGCGCCCCTTTGTCATTATTATGCAGATTGTGCAAAACCCACTTTTGCATGGCCATCCAAAAAATCCGAGATGCACAAAGTCTGTCTGGGGCGCAGGCAAACTATTATTATGCTTATTGCGCCGAGGAAGCTCATTATGTCCCAGTTGGAAACGTCCTTGAAGAACGCGCTCCATGTGGATGCATCCATCCCAATTAAGCCGGGGGTGATTCGTCAATTTGCATACCGTTACCCATCAACTTTTGATCGATAACCCATCACCGAACAGGTTAAAGATGGCCTCACATTCCATTCCCCGGCCCACGTTATTTCGGCAAACATTTATCTTGGCATATTTGCCGACAATAAACTGCCAATTGGCGGTGTTGACTCGGCAAGCAGATTCATACGGAACTGCTGATTGGATGCACGCAAATCCCCGTCTTGTAGACTCATCAGCCCCAAGGCCGAACAATTGCAAGGAATCCCCCTTAGACTCTGAGTCATCCCTGCCTAATCCCCAATCCCCATTCCCCGAAAATCACCCACATACGTGGCGAATTATTCTGGCTTGAAAAAGTGTTTGATTTGTGGGTCGGGGGAGAAATTCTGGTGCTCCAAATGCAAGTGAATATTATATATTATACATGTTATATGCCACTCAGTGCAATCCCCACAAGGGGATTTCTTTACTACAAATTAAAGGGTACTCACTCTAAAATGTTGGTATCACTAAAATCTCTTAGCCAAGCGAATAGAATACTCAACAAAAATGGACAAGAATTTTAAAACATCAAAAAAACCACTCACACTTTTTTAAAGCAACCTTCCCAAAAATCTCTAGCGATATTTCTGTAAGCTTTTTAATTTTACCACTCAAGCTCAGAAAATATATTTTCTTTTGGGTTTCAGTTGTATTTACATCAAATATATTTCTTTCAAATACTACATATTTAAGATTTTTGACTAAAAATCGCTGTAAAACCAAAATATTAGTGGTACACTACTCAAAACAAAAATATTAGTGGTACAATAAGATATTGGTTTCAAAATCCCCCAAAAAAAAATTCCATTCCTTTAAGGTTTTATAATCGATTGAAATTGTAAAGGGAAACCACTTTTTTGACACCCAAAAAAACATTACTTTAAAAATCAATTTTTAGAATAATTGTGCGTTACATTGTAATACAACTGTAGAACATAGTAAGGGTGGCCTTGGATGGGCGGTCATTGCAGCAACAGTTGGCTTTGGGTGGGGGTCAGGCCCTCCTCGGATGCATATGCATGCATTTCCGAGAAATGGATTATGAATTGTTCATGAGTCGCGGGATATCAGTGGAGTGAGGAGCGCAGGACTGCTTTAATATGGAAGCCAGCTTAATCTTTAATCGAAACTTTTGACTTTGAGCAATGGCAGAGCGCATTTGACATTCTCATTAATTTTACAGCGGACAGGCACATCGCGGAGCGGGAATCGCTATCCTAGTTTTACGGCCCGGACAGTTGGTTACGTGGTTGTGTCATCCTGCAGTAAATTGTTTTTCCCTGCTGCTGTCGTAAACAGGGACATTAAAAACTTGACTTGACTTGGCTTGCCTTGATTTGGCCGTGGGATTGAAGCGACGTGGCTGCAGTTCATTCCCAGTTTGATTGCAATACCTGGGCAATATTCGGCCAATGTCGTATATAAATAGTATGTTGACCCAGTTGCCCTATTATTGTTGTGTCCTGCTGTCAGGACCAGTACCAGTACCAAAACCAGCATCACAAGCAGAGGTCCTGTCAAACGCAAAAGCGAACAAGTGCAGCCTGTTTGCATTGCAATTGACGCCAGCAAGGTCACTTCTTATCCCGGGCTTAGCCTCCCACCCACTTTCCGGATGCTTCTCCTGCGACTTTGGATAATGGTTACGGTATTTAAATGTCCTTTTTCGCTCCCCCTCCGGCCAGCTTACTCTGATTAAAACGCTACCCACTTCGTGGCCATCAGCATAAAATATACACTGAAAAAGTGAATAAGCAAACTCGAGAAGTTTTTAATCTTAGTGGAAGCTTAAACATAAAATGTCGGTTCCCTAAAGCTGTTCTGCAAATTTACCAACATTTAATGTAATATTTGTGTTGTTCCAAAAACGGAAAAGTCCTTCTTTTTGAGCACCCTACAATCTCTAAAAGTTTCTTTAAACTATGTTAATTGATTGTTGAATCTTAATTTAAAACTGAGTAACTTCTTTCTGAAAACTATATTACAATAAAGACATCCAAAACTTTCTTATATTTTTGGTAGGCGGTTTTTTCCCAAAGAACTAAGAAACTGTCTACTTTCTAAATCAAGAATGGAATTTTTAACTATTTTGACATCATTAATTCCAGAATTTCGGTTTTGAAGACTTATTTAAAGAGTCTTAAAAATATTCTTGGGTCAAATATAAAATAACTTAAATAATTATTTTGAAACTTGACTTTTATTTTCGTTTTCTATTCGACTTCGAGGACATGTTTTTCTCTCTGCAGCAATGTCGAATTGGTGGTCATAAAATCAGTCGGAAAGTGAGCTCTTTGCCATTATCGAGAAGCGTTTGCCACCGCGCGAAATGAATATTTTAGCTGCGTTTTTTACGCTCAAGTGCTCGGCGAAGTGCTTTGTGGATTTTTGGGGGCACTGGCATTCAAACTGAGTTTCGAACTCAAAGCGGGTGCGGCACAATTACACAAATTGGATATTAATTGACTGCTCCCGCCGACACTCGACGCGCAATTAGTGGACATCGAAGGGCGCCCAGGTAAACAAATGATGTGAGTCCGTGTGAAGAAGGGGGGGAGGGGGAGAGGGTGAGGTGGATTGACAAGGGGGTGTCCTTCCACCCAGGATATCAATATCGAGGTGGTGGCGATGATGATGATGATGATGGAATGCCTGTTGGGGAACATGGCATCATCGCCGTAAGGACACAGATATTGCAGGCGTCGCAGGATAATGCGTCTGTCGGTGGAAAACTGATACCTAATTGAGCAAACAGCTTGGGGCTACGATTCGGTTTGGGTGGGTCAGTCGACGCTGCTTGTTTTCCCCCCATTATTCGCATTTTTCCTTTGTGTCCTGGCCGTTACGAAAAATCGAAAACACAGACGACACAACGACTTTCGCAGCCTTGAAGCGCCGAAAAGCGAGGAATTAGACTCTTACCTGCGGCGGGATTTACAGCCGGATCGGATTGGGATTAGCTCTCGACGCCTCCTGGTTATGCCCGATTTCACAGTAGCTCAGATGACAATCACTTTGCCACATTGCGTGTTGGTGGCAAATTCGGTTTTTTAGCACTCACAATGATCCACTGGGCCTTCTGATTGCCACAGACTGCGAAAAGCTGGCCGAAGGACCAAGCTTTTATTGTCCTGCGACGGTGATGGGAGCTTTTTTTTGGCAGGGGGTGGCCGAGGGGTGAGGCGTTTCACTTTCAGCTTGCGAAAGTCCTGCGCCTGCGCTCCTACTCTTCCGGCATTTGGCCTCCATTGTTTTGCTTTGCACGGACCATCCTCGCATCCTTTGCTTTGGCGGCACATTCGCGTGAAAGCCCACGGATGATAACGTTCCTACGGCTTTTCCCTCTTCCGGAACACCCACGCTTAAGACCAGTTCACACGTCCCCAAAAACTACCATAAAATACCAAATAAACCATTTCTGCCTAGAAAAAAAGCAACCAGCTTTCGCTAAGCTCTGGAAATATTCAAAAATGTACACCGCGCAAAGTAAAAGTATATTTACGAAATGATATAAAACCATAATTTTATAAACAGACGGACAAACGGACAAGGCTATAGCTTGTCTGGTTATTTTGATCAGGAATATATATGCTTCTGAGCAAATTTTTAATACACCCTGGATATAAAAATGTGTGCCTTCTTTTAACAGAATATTGTATTTATTTTGATTGATTTAATGGTCCCATTGTAAATTATAATCTTCTCACTATAAGTACCCATATATACGTAAAGATCTTATTTTAATCATTGCTTGTGCCTTCAATTTTCCATTGGATAATCCCGCAAAGAAAAAACAATTAAACAGTTGCTGATAATACATTTATTACGATGAGGAGCTCATTAAAAGCCGGCAAACGAAAAGCAATCAAACAGATGCCGATAATATAAATGTATTTACGTTAACGAACGTATTTAATCGTTGTACACTCTAACAGTCACCTGGAAACTAACACCGCCTCCAAATTCTCCGTTTTTGTCCACAACAGTAAGATGACCCCAGTACTGAGCATCTTTCAACGCCCAATCAACATTCCAAGCCGAAACGTTGAACCTAAGGACGTCAATCGAGTAATCACCTTTTGGCAAGGGGCACACCTTTCCATTCTTAAAGTTAAAGTTTGTGTTTTCTCCCGTCACTAAAATGGGTTTTAGGAAGCGGGAATATAAGTCTTTCAGAGCCTCGCAGACGTGTCGATTCTTCAGGTTATCGAAAGGTTCCTCCCTATATTCTCCGGATGCATTCTCATAGATTCTTACGGTAACCTTATCCTCATTAGTGATATCCTTTAAGAATTTTACCGAGCCATAAAAGTAGGGATCTCTGGCAGATTTTCTTTTCAGGGAGGGGACTATTAAACTTCCTGGAAAGTTAACCACATCCTCATGTCGTACGTCGTACGTACGAGCACCCTAATTTTATTTGAAAATCGGTTAAAAATGGTAAGGCAAAGGATTTAAGTCTACTTACTGCCACCACACCGATCAAAACAGCGAGGCAAACGAACACTAAGCTCAACAGATATCTTTTCATTTTGTGTTTAACTTATAAACTGATCTTTAGGAAGAATGAACAGACCTATTTATACCCCTTTGAGGTATCTAAAATCGTGGGCATGCATAGATAATTCTTGAATTATATACTTTTTTATTCCCTTTTAAGTTTATGTATTTGCATAGTAGAAATATGGGAAATACGTTGGGTTCGTTTACCTATTTATTGGATAATAAAAACAAAAAGGTTTTGGTGTGCTTAATAAGGCAATCCGGTTTAGACTTTTCAAAATTTTCAAAATTCCAATAATGTTTTAGATGAAACCGGTTCATTTTCTAGAATTCCCCCGTCCCACTAAAACAATATGGACAATCTTATTTAAGGGCACCCCCCAATTTCAAATTTTGATGATTTTCAATGGGCTGGTAAATGTACATATATTATTTTTTAGGCTTTTAACTTTGCATCCATTTAGTTAAAGTCTTAAAAAAGAACAAAAATGTAACATAACAACAAAAGCCCTTCTTTTTGGCGGCGCATGGGATTTCAGCTCAATGGAACATCTGAAACCAAAAATTCCAACGGGATTAGGAATGGATATAGCAAGAACTAGGATAATTAAGTTCGCACATAAATTTACAAAATGGCGGAACATTTTTTTTTGCAAATCGACTTCTTTTCAGCCACAAATCAAGTTGAAAAGTAGAGAATATCTTAACCGATTTAATTTATCCTAGTTCATGCTATATGTATAGAATAACGGATTACAATTTGGAACCGATTGGATTAATAATTTTTGAGTAATCTCATGCGCCAGTCCTAAAAATACTGTTTCGAGAAAAACGGGTTTAAAGTTTTGAGAAGCTATCACCGTCGCCTGAGGCTTCCACAATAAATCGGCTATATCTTCAAAAGTTTTTAAAATTTTCACTTGAAATTTTAAAGGAACAGACAGACAAACGGACGGCTATATCAGATCGTCTAGTTATTGTGATCAGGAATATATATACTTTTTAGGATCGGAAATGTCTTCCCTACTGCGTTACAAGCTTCTGACTAATTTTCTGTGCTTTCTCTAAACAGAATATTGCTTTTAATTTGATTGATTTAATGGTCCCATTGTAAATGATAATCTTCTTACTATAGATACCCATATATACGTAAAGATCTTATTATATCTTATTGGCTTATGCCTTCAATTTTCCATTGGACTACCAAAGTTCCATTATAATTGACTACTTCCTGATAAGTTATATGGTAAACTATTCCAGCGCCCTTATATAATTTGAAGAACGTTAAAAAATGGCCAGGCAGAGGATTTAAGTCTACTTACTGACGGTACACCGATTAAGATAGCGAAGCAAAAGCACACTAAACTTAACAGATGTAGTTTCATTTTGGATTAAGTTTGTGAACTGAACTGTAGAGAGAACAAACAAACCTCTTTATACACCGTTCAAGCATCTAAATTCGAGGGCATACATAATACCCTTTAATATACTTTCAGACACATGTGCTTGCATAATATAAATTAATATAAGTATAAATATATTATAATATGGAACATGGGTATTGTGTTCATTTACCCAATACCTTTTACTGAATAGGTTTCGGTGGGTTTAATAGGGCATTTCCGTTTGGACTCCACAAAATTGATCTTTTTAAAAACATTCTAGTTATGATTCTCCCGTACCATAGTAATGCAACCGCGACCAAAGAATTTTATAACTGTCGGATACCACTTATCCGGGATATTTGTTCACAGAATTGTGTGTCACATCGTACGATTGCTGCCAGCTCCAGATTTGTTGGAAAAGATATAGCTCTATTTAACAAACTCTTGTCATATTGATTGATCAATTGAATTCTCGTGTCAGTCTTTAAAATGAAAAAAAAGAGGACGAAAACTTCCTAAAAGACAAACCACATAAATACTATTAATCTATTGAGTTTTTATTTAACTACGATTTGATTATTTTTGGATTTCAATAGAAACCGTGGATCATTTTTGTATCGCACGATGAAAACATCGAACTTCCTGCGATTCGCATTATTCTGCATATCAGTCTATGTAGTTATGCTGAGATCGGAAATGTCTTCCTTCCTGCGTCACAAACTTCTGACTTAATTTGTAATACCCCCTGCAAGGATATAAAAATGTGTGCCTTCTTTTAACAGAATATTGTATTTATTTTGATTGATTTAATGGTCCCATAATGGTCACTATAGATACCCATATATACGTAAAGATCTTATTTTAATCAGTGCTTGTGCCTTCAATTTTCCATTGGATAAGCCCGCAAAGAAAAAACAATAAAACAGTTGCTGATATTACATTTATTACGATGAGGAGCTCATTAAAAGCCGGCAAACGAAAAGCAATTAAACAGTTGCCGATAATATAAATGTATTTACGTTAACGAACGTATTTAACCGTTGTACACTCTAACAGTCACCTGGAAACTAACACCGCCTCCAAATTTTCCGTTTTTGTCCACAACAGTAAGATTACCCCAGTACTGAGCATCTTTCAACGCCCAATCAACATTCCAAGCCGAAACGTTGAACCTAAGGACGTCAATCGAGTAATCACCTTTTGGCAAGGGGCACACCTTTCCATTCTTAAAGTTAAAGTTTGTGTTTTCTCCCGTCACTAAAATGGGTTTTAGGAAGCGGGAATATAAGTCTTTCAGAGCCTCGCAGACGTGTCGATTCTTCAGGTTATCGAAAGGTTCCTCCCTATATTCTCCGGATGCATTCTCATAGATTCTTACGGTAACCTTATCCTCATTAGTGATATCCTTTAAGAATTTTACCGAGCCATAAAAGTAGGGATCTCTGGCAGATTTTCTTTTCAGGGAGGGGACTATTAAACTTCCTGGAAAGTTAACCACATCCTCATGTCGTACGTCGTACGTACGAGCACCCTAATTTTATTTGAAAATCGGTTAAAAATGGTAAGGCAAAGGATTTAAGTCTACTTACTGCCACCACACCGATCAAAACAGCGAGGCAAACGAACACTAAGCTCAACAGATATCTTTTCATTTTGTGTTTAACTTATAAACTGATCTTTAGGAAGAATGATCAGACCTATTTATACCCCTTTGAGGTATCTAAAATCGTGGGCATGCATAGATAATTCTTGAATTATATACTTTTTTATTCCCTTTTAAGTTCATGTATTTGCATAGTAGAAATATGGGAATCACGTTGGGTTCGTTTACCTATTTATTGGAAAATAAAAACAAAAAGGTTTTGGTGTGCTTAATAAGGCAATCCGGTTTAGACTTTTCAAAATTTTCAAAATTCCAATAATGTTTTATATGAAACCGGTTCATTTTCTAGAATTCCCCGTACCACTAAAACCATATGGACAATCTTATTTAAGGGGACCCCCCAATTTCAAGTTTTGATGATTTTCAATGGGCTGGTATTTTAACTTTTCATCCATTTAGTTAAAGTCTTAAAAAAAGGACAAAAATGTAACATAACAAGAAAAGCCCTTCTTTTTGGACTAGGATAATTATGTTCGCACATAAATTTACAAAATGGCGGACCTTGGAACATTTTTTTTTGCAAATCGACTTCTTTTCAGCCACAAATCAAGTTGAAAAGTAGAGAAGATCTTCACCGATTTCATTTATCCTAGTTCATGCTATAGCTATATATGTATAGAATAACGGATTACAATTTGGAACCGATTGGATTAATAATTTTTGAGTTACCTCATGCTCATGCGTCCCCATAAACCCTTATTAAGCTCGTATGGAAATGATATATATTAACCAAGTATTGAAAGCCAAGTAAAAACTTTAGATTATTTGAGTGATTACCACCGAACGGAACGGAACCCATATACGTAAAGATCTTATTTTAATCATTGCTTGTGCCTTCAATTTTCCATTGGATAAGCCCGCAAAGAAAAAACAATAAAACAGTTGCTGATATTACATTTATTACGATGAGAAGCTCATTAAAAGCCCGCAAACGAAAAGCAATCAAATTATTTCGTTCTTTTTAACAGCCACAAGGAAACTAACACCGCCTCCAAATTCTCCGTTTTTGTCCACAAGAGTAAGATTACCCCAGTACTGAGCAGTTCTAATATTCAAATCAATATTCCAAGCCGAAACGTTGAACCTAAGGAAGTCAATCCAGTAATCACCTTTTGGCAAGGGGCACACCGTTCCATTCTTAAGATCAAAGTTTGTGTTTTCGCCCGTCACTAAAATCTGTTTTAGGTAGGGAGGGTAAAATTCTTTGAGAGCCTCGCAGACGTGTCGATTCCACAGGTTCGCGAAAGGTTCCTCCTTATATTCTCCGGATGTATCATAATAGATTCTCACGGTAACCTCATCCTCATTAGTGATATCCTTTTAGAATTTTACCGAGCCAAAAATGTAGGGATATCTGCCAGATTTAAATTCCAGGGAGGGGACTATTAAGCTTCCTGGAATATTAATCACTTCCAGATTTCGTACATCAAAATTAAAATAACCCTAATTTTTTTGAAAATCGGTTAAAAATGGTAATACAAAGGGATCAAATCTACTTACTGCCACCACACCGATCAAAACAGCGAGGCAAAAGAACACTAAGCTCAACAGATTTCTTTTCATTTTGTGTTTAACTTATAAACTGCTCTTTAGGAAGAATGAACAGACCTATTTATACCCCTTTGAGGTATCTAAAATCGTGGGCATGCATAGATAAAGCTTGAATACTTTTTATACTTTTTAATTCCCTTTCAAGCTCATATGCTTGCATAATAAGAAATATGGGAAATACGTTGGGTTCGTTTACCTATTTATTGGATAATAAAAACAAAAAGGTTTGGGTGTGCTTAATAAGGCATTCCGGTTTAGACTTTTCAAAAAATTCCAATAATGTTTTAAATGAACCCGGTGCATTTTCTAAAACAATATGGACAAACTTATTTAAACCCTTATTAAGCCTTATTAAGCTTGAAGGCCAAGTGAAAACTTTAGATTGTTTCAATGATTACCACCTAAACGATTACTTAGTCTTGTCACATTGATAAGCTTTAAAATTATTTCTAAAAAGGATAATAGAGTCGAAAAACTTCAAAAAATTCCAAACCACTTAAATACTATTCACATATTGTTTTTATTTAACTAAGATTTGATTATTTTTGGATTTCAATAGCAAGCGTGGATCATTTTTGTATCGTACAAATATTTCGCTTTTGAAAACATCGAACTTCCTGCGATTCGCATTATTCTGCTGCTCCCGCCAAGCAGGTCTCGCCTGTTTCCTTTGCAATCCCCAATGCCCGGTAAAAACAGGAGACAAAACATAAAATTGAAAGCCAGCTAAATGCATCTCATACACCTGCGGAAAAGTAAATTGTAAATATTTCCATATATATCAATTTTAATACTACTCACTTGGGAGTTTCTGGTGAACCCATAGCCCAGAAATCTTTCGTCGTGCGCTGGTGCGTTGTCTACAGCTATGTAGAATGGTTCGTATAGAAATTCAAAGTTCGTTACGATATGGCTCACTGAGACCTCCGTCTCATTTGTGTTTGTAGACAGCCACCTAAAATGCAATTCTTTACTAAGATACATTTCAGAACAAATTGGGTTAACATACTTGGAAAAGTTTGTCGCATATTGGTTGTAGATAAAGACCTTCTCGTGAAATGGTCTTGCCAAACCTTTTCTAATCAATCGCATCAGAGCGTTTTTGGAACGGGGAAACGTGGCTCTTACGTCTATCTCGAAAGTGGGGATTACGTAGGCACAGTTTTTGGAGCAATTAGCTGTTTTAAAGAACTGGTTCAGCTGCGGAACACTGTTCATGCTGGGAACAATGTCGATGTCTGTTAGAAAGACGTACTTCGTCTGACAGCCCTTGCGCGCCAGATTTCTCATGTGGTTCTGGGGATAGGTGTTCCTCTGTCGCCACTGGAGCGTTTTTAGGGAGCGAAACTTGAGCAGGGATTTCAGCGTTCTATCCGGATACTGACAGTCGAACTTGCCCTTCATGTTTAGGGGAAGAGCCGCCACTCGAGGCAACCTGTCGTAGTCCTTTGGCGTAAGCAAATGAAACGTGGCATTCTCACGAATGTTGGCAAAGCACAGACGCATGTAGGTGACGAAATACTGTAGGACAACGAATTCCTCATGTCCAGCCGCAAAAACCGCCACGGACATCTTGCCCTGCCAATTGGCAGCCACCTGGGGCAGCGAATTGAGGCGCTCTACCGAAGTCTGAGTTGCAAGGCAAACCAAACTGGCATCGGCGTCCATGTACTGCTCGCCCAACAAAGCGAAGTCCTTGATTCTGTACAGTTGCTGATTGTCCCAGCGACCGTAGCTCAAATCAATGTTCTCAAAAGCTAGCATCGCAGAATTATTTGGAGCCACGAAGCCGTCCAAATTGTTCAGCGGTTGCAGCAGGGCGTACGCTATCTCCGAATGCTAGGGACAATCTACGGCCGCAGGGCTTCGAGGAGTGAGCTCCGGAGGTGGGCATTTTTGGGGTGCATCTCCTGCCGGAGGATACACCTTTAAAAGCCAAAAAATATTGACCGACAGAAAGGCCAGCACAATTTTCAGCGTACTCCAGTTTGATATGTGGCACTGAAAAATAGGACAACTGTCTCACTATGATATTCATGAAATTCTATTTTTAAATTACCATTATTCAAGAAACACAAATATCACAAATCAGTTATTTATCAGGAAAACACAACCATAAAAACTATATTATACGTTAAAATCCAAAGGTCCTTGCAGTGTGACCGTAATTTTCTTAAATGGAAATAATTGACTGTGCTAAGTGAAGCCAAGCTAGAAATGGAATACGAAACACTTTATGTGCACTGTGTCATTCCAGTTGCTCAAAATATGTTTCTTCCATTCTCTTTTTTGCCAAATGTTAAATAAAACCGGGATCGGAAACTAACTTCTTCGAGCCGAAGTTTTAACACTCTTGAAATCTTACCGAAAGCGTCCACTGCGCGATATATTTCTGAACTATGTGTCATAGTCAACACAAGGGACGGATACGAAATGATGTAAAACCATTATATCATACGCATAGTTTTTCAATCGCATAAAATATTATAAAAATCAAATTGTTGAATTATTTAAATCACAAAAATGTTTCGTTTCGTTTCCACTCGTATCGATAAATATCCCAGACCAGTCGTGCAATGAGTCCCCACCAAACTGTTCATCGAGTAATATCGCTCAATGCATCGATGTTTTTATACATCACTAGTTCATATCTATGTATAGTAATGTATTCATTATATACAAATATACAAGTTGAAAACAGCGAGAAAATAAATCGAGAATAACATATTAAATTAGTATAAAAACAAGCTAAAGAACTTAGTCCTCGAAATAAAAGTGGCAGACGTGATCAACCAAGAATCTCAAAACCGAACACCAATTAAAAGAACCATCAAATCGTGCATATGAAAAAAAATCCATATGTATAAAATAACAATAATTAAGAAGCTGTGTTGTTAATTTTTTCATCATAAAAAACTAATTCGCCGGCTGCATGTAAATGTACGTAAGATTGTTTATGCATCAAACTAAATAAAAAAATCCTGGTTATAATTGATGAAAAAAACTCGCCAGTTAATGTTCATATATATATAAATATGAATTAGTCTTTAAGATAATTTATGTGTCGATCCAATTTGTTTTTATTTATTTTTCCCGAAACGTAAAAATAGAGAACCGATGGATAAATTCCATGAATTCCCCCTTTTAAGGCCAAATATCCGGCCCGGTTACGAATTCAGTATGTACTTGCTTATATGAGTATGTAATGTGCATACATGTCTTGTAAAAGCCCAATTCCTCAAATATATTCCTACTATCTCAGCTGATGTAAGACCATGATTGTTTAGTTACTAAATTTAATGGATCGGTAAGCACCTGCAAGTTCCTACGATTTTGTATATGGCCTCAAAGTATACGAAAATTACACCTGTATGTATGTAAGTTTGTTGAGGTACTTCTGATAAGTGTCAACAGCACAGAATTTATCCATGCCAAGTAAATACCGATCTTTTGGAACCCATATCATAGGTATTAGCCTCCTTAAATGTGTGTATAATGGCTCCCGAGAAGTTACTAGATCCAGTTTTTTTCAACGCCCCTGTCCCTGTAGATTTGTTAATTGGTTTTGTGACCTTTGTTAGCGATGGGATAAGTAAGGTTTCTATTGCTCATCTGTACATCATTATGATTACAATTAATTTCCTGCTAAGAACCTAGGAGTCCTAACCGCAAAATCTAGTTCATAGTTCCATCTTTGTAACTTAAGAATCTCATTATAGGAGTTAAAACTACTTGATACAGGATGATAAAATTCTAGAACGATTTTAAAAACCATATTAATCACTCTCACTTTCCGACAGGGATACATCCGAAGCCAATATGGAAGAGACAAATCCCAATTACGATGTTAACCAAAGACTTCAAAAGCCGGAGGGTTGGCCCAACGTCAGTGAGTTTCATCCCTCGATGATGTTTCCGGAGGACCCTAGGCGGTACTTCCACAATCCCCCCACTGAGCCACAGCCACCTGTACCCACACCGATACCGATACCCATACCCATACCCATCGACGGAGCTGTGGAAATACCCGCTAAAATGCCAGAATACTGCCCCGACATTAGTCAGCCTATTGAGCCCGATCGGGTCATAAATCCGCTGGCCGAGGTGGCCAAAAACACAGTACCTTACGGCCACAAACGAAAGAATTCGTCGGCAGAGGACCAGGCCGCTAACAAGAAGATCAGTCTGGCGGCCGCCGAGGAGAAGAAGGCGAGCCACCTGCGAAAGAACATCCGGGACGTTATGAACGAGAACAACCTGGACACAACCACACTGGCTGCGCAGCGGGAGGAATCGGAACGTCTGGCTCGCGTTGCTGGTCAACAAAAGTCAATGCGCGAGATTCAAAAGCAGGTGGTGCACAAACAGTTCTTCCGCATCCTCCAGCTCGACGAAAGCGAGGGCATCGACAGCTGTGCGCTTGCCAATCCCGCAGAGCATCACCCGCCCGCTGACTTCCCAGAAGAGGAGATAGCTTCGGACACGTTTGACGAGTCGAACAGCAGCAGCCTGAGCGGCGGCAGCATCGAGGATGTGTTGCACAAGGAGGCCAGCGTGCAACAGCCCAGCGAAGTGGTCACAATCGACGACAGCTCCGACGACGACTGCATACTCCTGTCCGAGGAAGAGGAGGAGGAGGATGACGAGGACTTGAACGAGTCAGACGACGCGACCAACAGCGGGATGCATGTGAAAGACGCGTACAATGTTCCCGACGAGAACGGACAGGTGGTGGTCAACATGGCGCACCCCGAGGGCGAGGAGACCTTGTACCTGGCCCCGCAGATAGCCAAGGTGATAAAGCCGCACCAAATCGGCGGCGTGCGCTTTCTGTACGACAACATAATCGAATCAACACGGAGGTATAACAAATCGAGCGGTTTCGGCTGCATTCTGGCCCACTCCATGGGTCTGGGCAAGACGTTGCAGGTGGTTTCCTTCTGTGATATTTTCCTGAGACATACCTCTGCGAAGACGGTGTTGTGTGTGATGCCCATCAACACGCTGCAGAACTGGCTGAGCGAGTTTAACATGTGGGTACCGCGCTACTCCGCCGACAGCAATGTGCGGGCCCGCAACTTTGACATATACGTGCTGAACGACCAGCAGAAGACGCTAACGGCCCGGGCGAAGGTGATCTTGAACTGGGTCCACGAGGGAGGCGTGCTCCTGATCGGCTACGAGCTGTTCCGTCTACTGGCCCTCAAGCTAGTTAAGACGCGGAAGCGAAAGGGCAGCGTCATCCGGCCAGATGGCATGGACTCCAGCAGCGATCTCATGAACCTCGTTTTTGAGGCCTTGGTCAAGCCAGGTCCCGATCTGGTGATCTGCGACGAAGGGCACAGGATCAAGAACTCGCACGCCGGCATTTCGCTGGCCCTGAAGCAGATCAGGACGCGGCGTCGCATCGTGCTTACTGGTTATCCGTTGCAGAACAACCTGCTTGAGTACTGGTGCATGGTGGACTTCGTGCGGCCGAACTACCTGGGCACCCGCACCGAGTTCTGCAATATGTTTGAGCGGCCCATCCAGAACGGTCAGTGCGTGGATTCCACGCCGGATGACATTAAACTTATGCGATATAGGGCGCACGTGCTGCACTCCCTGTTACTGGGATTCGTGCAGAGGCGGTCGCACACGGTGCTGCAGCTGACGCTGCCACAGAAGTACGAGTACGTCATCCTGGCCAAAATGACTGCCTTCCAGCGCAAGCTCTACGACACCTTCATGACCGATGTGGTGCGCACAAAGGCGTTTCCCAACCCCCTGAAGGCCTTTGCCGTTTGCTGCAAAATCTGGAACCATCCGGATGTTCTGTATAACTTTCTGAAAAAATGTGAGACTGATTTAGATTTAGAAATCGACGAGGAAGTATCCAAGGGAGCTCCCACCCCAACTGTTGAGTCCAGTCCAGATCCTGCCTTGAGTGTGGCTTCGCCTCTGTTTGAAAAGAAAAGTAATGGCTCCAGCGAACTGGTTAATAGTATTGAGACCCTACCCAAAGCCGATAATCAAACTTTATTTAATATCCCCACGTCATCGGATTTAAATGCAAAATATTTAAATAAGAGGTATGCTACAATCTACCTAAAGAATTTTCATGTTTAAACTTATAAATATTTTACTTTCAGCCCTAGTTTCTACGATGAAAAACCGGAGCCACTTAATTATGGTGCATTCGGTAGTGAAGGAAAAAACAATTATTGGATGGATTCCAGTATTCTTCCCAAGCCGGGATGCGTTGAAGTCATCAAGCAAACGGACACGAACATGTCAAATAACTTTGAAAGTATAACGGGGTCTTCGGAGATCGTGGATCTGGACACAAATGAGATAAAAACCGTCGAAACGACAATACAAACGCCGTGTTCCAACAATCATATAGATAATGAGTGCAATTCTAGCAAACCAAGTGAATGGAATGCCTCGGGCATTAAAAACGTTAGCGGCGTTCCTGCCGAGCCGTTTAAAAAATTGCTGAAGAGTAAGCGAAACGATGAATTTTCATGTTCGTGGGCCGTGGACATAATGAAAAACTATGTGTCGGGCCTGATAGTGAATTCCCCGAAAATGGAGATTTTCTTCTGCATCTTGAAGGAGAGCCTGCAGTTGGGGGATCGTATTTTGTTGTTTAGCCAAAGTCTATTAACCTTAAACTTACTCGAAGTCTATCTTAAATCTAGTTATGTTCCTGGTAGCAATCTGTTTTGGACTAAAAATAGCTCTTATTTTCGTAAGTATACAAACCGATAGTATATAATTATAGTTAACCATATACTTTTATTTCAGGTTTGGATGGTTCTACTTCCTCGCAAGAAAGGGAAAGACTAGTCAATGAATTTAATGCAAATAGTAATGTTAAGCTTTTTTTAATATCTACAAGAGCTGGCTCATTGGGAATAAACCTGACTGGAGCGAATCGCGTTATAATATTCGACGCCAGTTGGAACCCTTGTCACGATACACAAGCAGTGTATAGGATTTATAGGTAAAAGTTGATTGACTTAAATTGACTTTCTCACTACAAAAGAATCTTTATTGTTTTACCAAACTTTCAGATATGGTCAGATAAAGCCGTGTTTTGTGTATAGAATTGTAATGGATAAATGTCTGGAGAAAAAGATATACGATAGGCAAATCAAAAAGCAAGGCATGTCCGATCGTATCGTCGATGAATGCAATCCCGAGGCACATCTTTCAATGAAGGACATTACCAATCTGTGCCACGACTATGACTCCGATGAAGAAACTGTCGAGGAGTCGAATAAACCAACAAACGATTTAAGCAAGCCAAGCTCGCCATCGGAGGAGCAAATAAAGAAAGACGAGCAAAATATGTCGCCAGATGGGACAAATAAATCAACCGATGATCAAAAGAAGCCAGAAGACGATCAAACTGAGTCCAAGGCGCTAAACGGCGCATCACACTCTCACGTCAAAAAGGAAAAGGATGATGTCCCAGAAATTATTGTTCATGCCGACTCAATAATTAACACCATTCTTGAATCGCATAGGCATTGCGTGACAAAGGAACCATTTTTGCACGAAAGTTTGTTGGTTGATCAAAAGGACAGAAAACTGTCGCAGGCGGAAAAAAGACAAGCTCATCGAAGCTACGAACTGGAAAAGAAAGCTGCCGTCAATCAGAGATGTACTTATGCACCTGCAAAAATGCATTACAAGATCGTGAACAACGATGGAACTGTAATTACCAAACCAATGAACCAGGTAAGTGTCTGGTAAAAATATTGTATAACCAATGTATTGATTTTATTTTTATTTTACAAATCCATAGCAAACAAAAATAAATAATTCTGCTTCCACTGGACGATCAACCCGTTGGATTCCAGCTGACGTGTGGCAAAGGCAGGGAATGACTGCCCAAGAAATGACCTTACCACTTGGTAAATGTGATTTTCTGTTTTTCAACTTAAAGAATAAGCTAACAAATATGTATTTCAGATGTTGTTATTCCCACAAATTCGGCCGATAAAGCCAATATAATTCTAAAGGCTGGTCAACGAGTTATGGTTCTGAAGTCGACCAAAGGTATTTACATGCAGTTGGACAGCGGGAAGATCATAGCTATAAGGACAACGGCAAAAACTGAACCTGAAAAGACAAATAAGGATGATGTGATAGACATAACTTCTGATTGTGACACCGACATAGCAAAACCACAAACTCCAGAAGAAGGTAAGCATTTCACTTTTGGAATGGATGATTTAAAATTAACTAATCTGATTTTAGATGTGAAAGATCTGACGGCTGATGACGAACCGCGTTCAGTCAAAAGTAAGGAAATTACTTCAGCAACCACTAGCCGGACGGAAATGTCTACAAAAGAGAGAAAGTCCACGGAGAACATTCAACATTTTAAAACGCAAACGCAACCAAATAATACTTTAACCACCCCAACAAATCAGCATCCGATGCCTTGTGACTTGAACTACCCACAGCAGTCCCAAACACTGCCGCAGCAGCAGCAGTCGCATCAACAGCCACAGCAACCACCGCAGCAGCAACAGCCGCAGCAGCCACCGCCACAGGCGTACAAACATCAGAATCACTTGCCAGCTGCCGGCGAGGGTTACAACAATGCCAATAGTATTCAGCCCAATGCGCCACTGCCACCGCATCCAGGAGCTCCAAACAGTGAGCCGGCGCCGTCGGCGGATAGCTCCTACTTCCAGGCCAAACCTTTCCAGCACACATATCCCCCACAGTACTACGATTACTATGACAATAAGCACAAGGCCGCACCACCCGGATCCAGCTATCACATTAATAACTACACCTCATACGGCAATCTGAACTTCGCACCGTATCATTCCAACCTCCATCCACCAGCGGCTTACATCGGTGCACCGTCGTCGTATGTAAATTCGAATGTTTTCCCTCGGCAGCATTGGAGTTCGGTTGTTAATTCACCAGCGTCAAGCGAGTCTATTCGACAGCCATCGTACATTGGTAGTACTTACCCCATCAACGAATGGTCGTCGCAATAGCGAGTGTAAATAGACTATGGTCCAATATCTCCGTGTCCAGTTGAGGGCGAAGCCACTTTAACGAGCTCAAATATACTCAGACTATCTTGTAACTGCTAATTTTATTATTTTGATTTATTTTCGACTTTTAATAATGCTTTTGTATAGATTATTCAAAAAAAGTGTTTTGTGATTGTTTGTTTTTTTTTACATTTTTTAATGTACTCAAATAATGCCCATAAATGGTAAATATTTATGCGGGCGTTCACATGAAAATTATTCTACAAACGCCTAAGTAAACTTTCTAAACAAATCATTATCATTATACTAGACAATTAATGAGATCATACAAGTGATCAATAAACCACACACAATGCTTCCTATACTTATTAAATTTCAATTTTTCCCATGATAGTGTTCTTGCAAAAAAAAATTGTTTACTTTGTCATTAAGGGGTTTAGCTTGACTGGACAAACAGAGCTCGGCCTTTATTCCTTATTATTATTTTCCTCTAATTTATTTATTATCTTATTATAGTGAATTCTTTTTAAACGCATAATTACGATAAGTTATTAGTTTTCATTCTGAAAAATACAAAAGAAATCTAAATAAATATTCATAGCTCGTAACATACTGTTTAAGCAATCGTTCTACCCAATTGTATTTAATTCAGAAGCCCATAGAAAAACTCATACGGAATAACATTCGAAAATTGGTCTCTTTTGGTTAGGGGTAGCAATACCCAGAAAAGGAAACTAAAAAAACATTGACATTAGTCTAGATAATAGCACATTCGAAATAATAAACAAGCTTTGATTAAACAATGTTAGATCTAAGCAATAAAGAAAAAGTATTAAACAAAAAAACCGCTTTCGTTAGTTTTGAGGAAAAAGACAGCGGATTGAATTGTTAAATTGACGTAATATATATTTATTTACAGCACACATTCATATACAAATCATACTCAATACAATAACATATAAAATGTGCGCATCTATTATCTGCGAATAGAACCGTTGAGAGGTAAGTAAGAGTAAGAGGGATACATCGGAGTGGATGGATTGGCTCGCTGCAGCACGCAGGCATCCTGGTACTGAGATTGCATATTCATCATCTGCATCGGAATCTGCGAGTTGGGGTATTCGCTCCCCGAGCTGTAGCTTCCAGTGGGCGGTGACTGTTGCGGCGACATCCGGTAGCTGTTGATGGCCCCGTAGGGAGCCATCAGGTTCGGGCTGATGTGGACATTGGTGGTTCGGTTGTTGCCGCTGCCCATGGGAGTCGAGGTGTGCTGCACCGGGGCGGATGGGGTGTTGCGGGTGTTCCGGCTCGTGTTCTGCGCCGACGTAATCGGCGGTATGTTCATGTTGCCCGGATAGTACTTGTACTGCAGCGGCGTCACCTGCGACTGCAGCATGTTGGGTGGCGTGGAGATGTTTCTGTTCTGCATCAGCAGGTGCGGGGGCGGCGTCATCGAGTTCGGGGGAATAGGGTGGTGCGGCGACGGGGCCAGATTCACCTGCGCTCCCGGCGACGTGTTGCACGGCTGACTTTCTAGGCAGTTTGTGAGCTGTTGCAGCTTGGACAGGCTGCACAGATTGCCCGCCAGCGAAGCTGTTGCGCCGGTGCTATTGGCCGCGGAAATCGAATCCTGACCCGCCTGCCGCTGGTCATTGTTTCCCGCCGTTGGCGGACCACCCAGAGAGCTGGAGACTGGCACCCGCGGCGTATTCTCGGCAGTGGGCATGTTGTTTTGCAAGTAGAAATTGTTGACGGCACACGCCGACGAAGGCTGCTCGAGGCGCTGGTGGGTGTTGGCCAGCGAGTGCACGGAACTGTTCAGCGACATTCGCTGCTGAATCACTGCCGGCATAATGTCATAGTTCGAGGGATTGGTCGAAAAATTCTGGCTGAGTTGCGGAATGGGCACATAATCGATCGGCTGCATATTCTGCTGGTGTCCGTGCTGCGAGAACTGCAGGTTGTGCAACGTATCGTGGTGTGATTTGGAAATATTTGCCGTGGCACCGCCCTGGGAAATCTGATGATGAGTATTCGTTGTGGTTGTTGCCGGCGCCGCGTTTTTAGCGTCACGTTGCTGGGCCGTGTTTCCGCTGCGAATTTGTTTGGGCGTGGTGGCTCTGTGAGAAGGTGTCGGCGAACTAACTGCTATGTCCGCCTGGAAAATGAAAATAAATAGGAATTAGCACGCAAAACTTTATAAAAAACCAAAAACAAATATATTACCTGGGCGTTTAACTTCCTGCTCTGATGCTGGTGCTGTGGATTGCTGAGGAGATTTATGTTTGGCGAACCCTCCGGCGCCAGATTCATATTCAGATTGTTCTGTTGCTGCATGTGGGAGTTCTGGATGGACATGTGCATGGGCGTGGTAACTGGTTGATTCTGCATGGAGCAGTCAGAGAACTGTCTATGCGGCTGATGCATGTGGACATTGGATGTGGCTGCGATTTCCTGGGAACCGTGAGCGATGGCCGTCCCAATGTTTGCCGGAGAGTCCATGTTTATCTGCGCACTTATTCCGCAATCGTAGTGCTGCATAGCCGCGTTTGACGATGATTCCGTGTTATAAACCAGATTCGGATTAACGTCGGATTGGCCACCGCCCACTTGAAGATTACCATGCTGGGAAGTGGCGTGAATGTTGGGGAGACCAATCTTATTGTGCTTTCCCTCGCGCGAAATGACCGATGCCGAATTGACGCTATGCTCGACTTTCTGCTTGGCGGGCACAGCTCCTGACTGGGGATTTACTGGATTGGGTATAAGAACAGTCGATTCAGCCGGGTTGGGGTTGCTCTGTCGAGGCACAGGATTCTGGACATTGGCCAGGGACTTCATTTGCTGTGCCTGCTTCTGTTGAGTGGCGCATTTTTGATTGTAAATGGCCGCCTGGTTGTTGGCCACATACTCATTGCAATGCTGGACATGGACATCCTCGCGAGCAGTGCTGACCACATTGACACTGGACACGACCTTCGGCTGCTCCTCCTTTTTGCCGCTGTTCTTGCGTTCAACCTTATGCTTTTCCTTGGTCTGATGCATCTGGTGATGGGCATGCTGCATGGCCAGGTTGGCGGACTGGTAGAGGTTTTGCGTGAAGTTGTGCGTGTAGGCCATGGTCGTGGCCAGATCCTTGTGAAACTGCTTCTGTCCCTTTTGCGCAGCGGGGTCCAGGTGTGAGAGATTGTAGCCGTAGTATTCCCACTGCCAGTACTGCGAGGTGTGATAGTTGGGCACCTGGTGGGGCGGAAACTGGGAGGGAATGGGGTTCTGCAACTGAGCGTGCTCGTTGCTCTTCAGTTGGATCTTGTCCCGAATGGGAATGGGAGCCGAGGGTGCCCTTGCATTCGTTTTTTCTTCCTCCTTAACCTGCACTAGTTGTTGGTCCGATTTAATGACTTCCTTTTCGGGTACCACTTTTATCTTGCTCGCATCGTATTTCCTTTCGCCGCTGTTCATTTCCGGCTTAACAACTGGAACTTCCGGTACTGCTTTCTTAATTGCCTTATCTTTAATTTCCACATTTTCCTTAATTATTGGTTGCAAGATTGGTTTTTCTGGTGAGATCTTTTCCTTCACCGGTTGCTGTTGTGGTTGCCCCACAAGGGAAGGAACATCCGCACGGATCAATGGCGGATAAGTCGCAGCGGGTTCGGCTTTCTTGACGCTTTCCAGTTCTGACGTCTTTTGCGTGGTTTCAATAGGTTGAGCCGGCCCAGTTTCTTTAACTTTTTCTTTATGGACACTTGGCGCGGGAACCTCGGGCAATGACTTCGGAATGGGCAATGCTGGCGCAAGTGCCGAAGAGTCGGGTGAAAACTTTAAGTAGTTCACATCCAGCTCCAGTTTCTTTTCCTCTGCGCAATTCTTAACTTTCTCCGTATTGACAGGAGCCGTTACCTGTTCTAAAACGGGCTGAGCAGCCACCACAACGGGTTCCGCTTTTTCGGGAGTCTTCGGCTTGGGCTTCTGTTCAGGAACTTCAAGTGGTTTGACCTCCTTAATGTCAACCTCTTTTGGGGTTTCTTTCACCTCGGGTGTGCTTACCACCGGCTTTTCCTGGGTACTATGCTTGACATCTTCAGTGTTGTACGAAGTTGCTTCGGAGAACAACGTCTTCTTAGTTTTCTTGGCCACTGCATCGAGCACTTGGTCACTTATGTTGTTAGCCTCACTCTCGTTCTTGGTCGATTCTTTGCTTTTTTCTGGGCTCTCGATTTTTGCCACCGTAGTCAACTCTTTAGTGGGTTCCTTCACTGGACTAATCGGCGTTACTTCGGCAGGTTCTGATGTGGTACTTCCATTGAACTGAGTCTCATCCGAGCGTTTACCATTGGACTGTTTACCCCTTAGTTTGGGTACAATGTTCACCGGCTTGTCGACGTGCTCTTTTTCCACAACGATCTTGCTGATAACTGTTTCATCCAACTTGGGGCCCCTTTCGACTCCTGAAATCTCCGATTGACTTTGAATCGGTGGATTATGGTCGGTTAAGATCGCATTGCTTTCCAGCGGCCGGTCGAAATGCTTCCGTTTGTTTGTGTGGGGGATTAAGTCGTTGCGTTTGGCCAAACGTTGGGCCCTTTTGGTCAACTGCTCCGACAGTTCTTTAGAAGATTTACAGTCAGATGAGTCGGAGTGCTCACCAAATGACTGCTCCTCAAGGGGCGGCTGAGCTGCATTCACCTTCAATTTTTTTGCCTCATTCGGAGCCGATTTTAAGAACTCTTCAGGGCATGCACGTTTTCGTTGATTTTCCCTCTCGTCCAACAACTTTTCAGAGCTGGAACCACGATTTTTTATCGGGAACTCGGGAGTGTCCTGATTCAACTTCGGGGTGATCGGCACATTTTGCTTAACTATAACCTTATTATCTTCACAGATTTCCTTTAAATCTGATTTTTTCTCAATTTGGTTGTTCAAATATTCACGATTCGAAATTGGTTTGATTATGTTGGGTAATTTCGAAACCGACAGAAGTGGACTCCATCTTAAGCAATCTGCTTCTATAATTATTCGAGTTTTGCTGTTTGCCATTTTATTATGGTGAGCCACAACTTTCTTCCAGTCGATTTTCACATTAATCTGATATCTTATGTCTCCATCGTTTTTCCTCAACTTAATGAAGTTTAACAATTCGAAGGCCAGAGCAATGTCGGAAATAGCCAAACCAGTTTTAATTGCAATATCCTTAAAAGTGATTTTTGTGTGGTTACGATACTTGTACAAGTACTCCAACACAACGGATTTCCAGTAGGAAAAATACGAAAGGCGTCCCAGATCCGAAAGCGGCTTCTCCGGAGTACCCAACTGTCCCTCCTCGCGGCTTAACAGGTAGCTAAAGTCGATCAGAAACCTTCCGTACCCTTGCCTTTGGTATTGCGGCATCGTTAGGATGCAAGACACATTGTACTTTTGAGTGCAGTGCTTTTCCTTCGAGAAGTAGCCAACCAGATGACATCCGCTTTGATCATTTTTGGTTAAAATATAGAAGAGAAAAGGTTCCACGTCGTAGTAAAGTGTTTTGTGATCGAGAAAGAACTTGGCCAGCAGGCATAAGTTTTGGCAATATATTTTGTTAACGTTGCCATCCACTTCAAAGACTGATATGTTGCCCTGTCTGAATATTTCAGTACCTGGCGGCTGCTTCCAAATGCACTTGTTCTGATGTCTGTCGAGAACAGAACGACTCTTTGTGTACTTCAGGCAGAATTCGCACAAGAACAGTTTCAGTAGCCTGGCGTACTCCTGCGGAAAGGGGCTGGAGTACCAGGTTTCAATGTCCCACTTTCCTATTTGGATCGATTTGGGACTCTGGGTGTTCTGTCCGGGCTTTAGGTTGATATCATTTACTTTTTCAATATGATTATTGGACATTTGAACGACGGCCTTGTGGAGAACCTCTTGATATAATTCCACATCCGTGGCGGTTACGCCAGGCGGCAGTGGCTGATTCTCAAAGGGATTGGCCCGTTTAGTGTTTTCCCCAGCCACATCTTCGTCATTATTAGTTTCTTGTTTGCCATCAGCGTCGCTGTGGTTTTCCCTGCTCCTTTCAATCTCCTCCAGAAGTTGAACTTTCATAACAGTTTCCTCTGTTAGATACGGAATGTCATCCTCGCACTTTTCGTACGACTTGCCTGCTTCTAGCGGCATACTTTTCAAGGGCACAATTTTTTTCTTCTGCCCATTTGGAATCTGTCGCTTTATGGTCATGCCGCCAATGGATGTAGAATTTTTGTCTGGAGTAGAAGCAGCTACTGGCGTGCTCTTTGTCGTCCGATTTGCGGCAGGGGACGTGGCAAACGTGCTCGCTGCTGGCTTTGAATATCCAATGCTCTTGGCACTTGTGTTATTTTTTGATTTTACAAATATGTCGATGGGGTTTTTCGCCACGGCGGCGAACCCCCAGTTCTCACTAGCCACTTCATTAGTATTCGGCGAGCCTAGGCCATCAAGTTTAGCGCAACTTTGTTTCTCATTCTCGAAGATCTTTCCCTTCAGCGTGCTGCGATCGGTATCATAGTCCTCCTCGTCGTTTTCGTCATCACATTCGGAACTGTCGCTGGAGCTCTCGCTGGAGTCCGAGTCAGAGCTCGATGAAGTGCACGAATCCGAGGAAGTGCTCTCGTCCTGATCGTTGTCATCACCATTCCTGTTTCTGTCGTCGTCCTCATCATCGTCATCTTCGCTTTCGCTGGACGAACTTGTGGAAGAAAGATCCGAAAAAGTTCGCTTGCGCGTTTCTTGGCTAGCAAGGTAGCCTCCCTGTAATATCTGCGACCTCTTCTGCTTGCCGGGGAACTCGAACTGGTCCTCACTGTCGTTTAGTTTTCTCGAGCTCAGGCTGGCGGACATTTTTCTCCTCTGGCCATTGCCATCATTGTAAACGCAAAGTTTTGAGGTCGATGGACTATCGATATTGCACTCCTTCTTAATGCTTTGCCGCTTATTGGAGGCATATTTATCGGAGGGGGTCATTCTAAATTAACAAGAAATAATTTAAAACAAAACTAATTAAGTTTAAAAGTATTGAAAATTACCTCTCATTGCCAATTTCCATTTTTATCCTTGTACTGTCTTTTTTAATTAACTTCGGATTATCTATGCTTTGTTTGGAGCATGTTTTACACCTAAAAAACAGGGATTCTTAACTGTAAAAATATTAGTTTCGCAAATTCAAAGTTACCCTACCTGTATGGGTGCTTGGGCTTCTTGTCTGGAATTGTATCGAGACATGTTAAGTGAAAGTGGTCCTTGCACACGAAGCACTGCAGCAGGCAGGGTCCACGGTTGCGCATTTTGCAGACGGCGCAATCAGCGCAATTCTGGCAATCCCAAATTGTGCCCTTGGTGACAAGCATGTAAAGCAGTACGTAGGATTGGGATTTGCATCTGCCGGCAATATTAGCGCAGGTGGTGTGCAGAGAAATCCCGCACTGCTTGCAGGAACTTAATGGCTCTGGGATTCCGTTAAGGTTCTTTTGCGAGTTCCCCGAGCAGTGGGTGCAGCTCTCCTCGCCCTTCATAATCACATCCGAGACAGGGGCGCATTTTCGAGGCGTTGTCAGAGATTTACCCTTTTTGTAGAGCTTTCCTTCCTGGATCAGAAAGCCGGCGTCCACCGCCTTTTTAATGGATGCCTTAATTACGGCTTTAAAGTCCACATTGGGCGACAGGTCGATGCAGTTGAACTTCTGAATGTAGTTCTCTATGCTCTTAATTGTGGATCCTTCGCATTCGCCCAGATCGTGGACAGCCTTGGCCACCAGCTTATACAGATTGGTGTTCTTGTCCACCTTAATGCGTCGCTTTGCCATCGGGGCCTTGTATGAGTGCAATCCCTTGTTGTACACCTTGATCACAGCTCCCGACTCGACGGCCTTCTCCAGTTTCTCGGCAACAATGTCCTCGTGGAACTTGTGATGAGTGCCGATCGCCTGGCAAATCCTCTGCACAGAGGGCCTCTGTTTTTGGGACCTGATCTTCGATATGGCCTCGAGGATCCATTGCTTCCAGGTGTCCATGCTTATATCGTGAGCCGACTCCCTCATCATGGCTTACTCTGAAAGAAATTCAAAATAATTATATTTGAGTTTAGTAAATCATCTCATTTTCAATGATTTTAACTATACTACTTTTCAATAAGTTTTCTGATATTACTATAAGAGTCAAGATACATACATAACGATATAGAAAATTTTCATTTATTCAAAGAATAATGCATCTAACAGATGCATCTTATAATCGGGTATCTATCGCTCTACAAAATAGTATCTAATATCTTGGCCTGCCGGTACTTATTGAAAAAAAACATACGTTATCTCCAATGCGTATTGAGGAAAATGTATGTTTTTTGAATAGTATTGCAATTTTAGTCGTTGACTGTGGCGAAATGCAGCTAAATTTTTCACTTGGCGCTACAGAAAATAAATGAACTCGGGCTATTAAAGTATTTTCATTTATAACTAATAGAACCAAAAAGATGTAACCATGCAAATATGGTTCGCACAATTTGATTATTGCTAGTATTTCCGCACAACAATCCCACTTTTTATGTACGTATCCACTTTACAAAAACTATTCTACAGCATACACACATATTTAGATACATATGCAAGCCAGTATGCTCGTATGTACATACATTTATTATTTCGATTGTGGTGAAAGTAAGGGCGAATATATACCGAACTTTGAATATATATATATTACACGTTAGAAATTCTACGCTGAACGCATCTTAAGACATTTAATATCTTGGAAACAATAACAAATAATAATTTTGCAATGAAGTTTGATCGCTACTGAGTATTAAAAGGCTTTATTAGGGCCCTATCTACACTGTGCCACAACGTAAAAGCGGCTAGGTTTCTTGGAGGTCAAATTGGGAATGACGGAATGAAACAAAAACTGTAGTTAATTGAAAATATATAACTAAATTTAATGTAACGAATTCATATGTATTATTTTTTAAGACCTGTACAAATAAATGACATTAGACCACAAAGTACTTTTTAACCCATTTTGTTTTTTGTAAAACATGCTACCATGCTAGTAACAACTAAAAAGCTGTTAAATTATTTGATTAAAATTGTATGTAATTTAAATTAAAAGGTATCTGTTGTTGCACCTAAATTCAAATTACTGATTATCATATTTTCAAATATTAAGCTTAAGCGAATAAAATATTTGTAGATGTAAATAAAAAACTTATTTAGATTCTTTGATCAGCTGTTCGCACAAAAGGCTTAGTAAGACCGCGCATACTAATATCAAAGGTATTTTGGGATTATTTTGAAACTCAGAAAGGGCATACTATTTTCCCCCCAAACGGAACACTACAATTCGACAGTTCGGCTTTTTTGCACTATTTTGGATAAATATGATTTAGTCCGGACAAAATAAAAACTAAAATGGAATACGAATCTTCCGAAATTAGTGGTAATATTTGTGAATTGGTGACACATAAATCGAGGAGTATTTGATTGTGTTTATTTGTTTGTTGACCATTTGTTTTTTCGCACTTTTGTAAAATATACATACATATGCATATAAACAATTATTTATTTATATCTATGCGGAAGAACAAACATACATACCGACATGTACATACGCTTAGACATGTCTGTATGGATTTATATTTAATATATACTCCCGCACGGGGGGTCGGCCCAATACATATGTAATACCCAGCATACATATTTGAAAAATCGAAATGGCCCGAATATGAATTGTAAATAATGGTGGCCAATAAGAAAAATAGAAGACTGTGTGTAAATAAATTAGCAATAGTATTGCAAGTTTAAATCTATTACAAATAGGGCTTTGTTTCGGCCCTTTTCTATTTTAGGCCATTGTGCTTCAGTCATTTGTTTAAGAAAATACATATGTAAGACAGAGTCTACGTTTCCCCACGTTTCGGTTTCCGTCTCCATGATAACCCACCCGTTTGAGCTGATTTTTTGCCCCCCGAGCCACATTTTTGAGTTGGAAGGAGCCAGGTGATTACGACGTCAGTGGGTGCGGCATTATTGTGGGCTTGCAAATATTTGCAATGCATGTGTTGGTCTGTTTTTAGGGTAAAATAATAATTACATTCTTGGCCAAAGGAGGACAAGTCTCTTTGTTTTTTTATCTGCTTAGGATATACTAATTTTTAATAGTATCTTTTAGTTAACTTTAAGTTCGGATTAAATACGCATTTCTACATTTTCAGAACTCATTTCAAACTTTTCAGTACCAACTTCCAAATATTCAGATAACATATTTGGTGGTATCATTCAATTACTCATTAAGCACCAATTTCAAATTTTTCAGATATAACCACAGGAAGCTGCAAGAAAAGGCTCACATTTTTAAAATATATTTTAAGTGATACCACAAGCGATCAAAAATGGGCAGCCGAATTCGGCGAGGACACGGAAGGGCATCAGTTTTCGTTGGATTATCTGTTAGACACCTTTATCGTGCTCTATGACGAATGCAGTAACTCTTCCCTGCGCAGAGAAAAGGGAGTTTCCGATTTCCTTAAACTATGTAACTATGATAGCTATAAAATACCTAATTTACCTATTTAAAACTTTACTTGTCCTATAGCCAAACCCTTCGTGCACATTGTACGAAAACTTCGGCTGAGCCGCGATGATTTTGACATACTCAAAATCATCGGGCGTGGTGCCTTTGGAGAAGTCTGCGTGGTTCAGATGATATCCACCGAAAAAGTGTATGCCATGAAGATCCTAAACAAATGGGAGATGCTTAAGCGGGCCGAAACTGCCTGTTTTCGAGAAGAGCGGGATGTTTTGGTGTTTGGGGATCGCCAGTGGATCACCAATCTGCACTACGCCTTTCAGGACAATATAAACTTGGTATGACACTCTTTCAGTAATCTCCTACTCTAGAAATGTAATATTTTACTCATTTCAGTATCTTGTCATGGACTATTACTGCGGCGGAGACCTACTGACCCTCCTGAGTAAATTTGAAGACAAGCTGCCTGAGGATATGGCCAAGTTCTACATCACAGAAATGATTTTGGCCATCAACAGTATTCACCAGATTAGGTACGTTCACAGGGACATTAAGCCGGATAATGTGTTACTCGATAAACGCGGGCATGTGCGGCTGGCCGATTTTGGATCCTGCCTGCGACTGGACAAGGATGGGACCGTTCAGTCCAACGTGGCTGTGGGCACGCCCGATTATATCTCGCCAGAAATATTGCGGGCCATGGAGGACGGAAAGGGGCGCTACGGAACAGAGTGTGATTGGTGGTCCCTCGGAGTGTGCATGTACGAAATGTTGTATGGCGAGACGCCCTTTTACGCAGAGAGCTTGGTGGAAACCTACGGAAAGATCATGAATCATCAGAACTGTTTCAATTTACCGACACAAGAAACCATCAATTACAAGGTGTCGGAGACATCGCAAGACTTGCTTTGCAAACTGATATGTATACCCGAGAATCGCCTTGGCCAGAATGGCATCCAAGACTTCATGGATCACCCCTGGTTTGTGGGGATCGATTGGAAGAACATTAGGCAGGGGCCTGCACCGTATGTGCCGGAAGTATCGAGTCCCACGGACACTTCCAACTTTGATGTGGACGACAACGACGTCCGGTTAACGGACTCCATTCCCCCGTCAGCCAACCCCGCCTTCTCTGGATTTCACCTTCCATTCATTGGCTTCACTTTTTCGCTGAGCAGTAGCTCAACATTGGATTCAAAAAAGAATCAGAGCTCTGGCTTTGGAGACGATACCTTGGATACAATAAGCAGTCCACAGCAGGCCATTCTGCCGAGCAACAACTCGGAGGCGTCGGTGGACTCCATTCAGGAGAAACAGGTTAAGGCCCTAAACGAGCAGCTAGCTAGCATCAAGCAGGAAAGGATCGAATTAACGAAGCAACACAATGAGATTTTCGAACGCCTCAAAGCTCAAGACTCCGAGCTTCAGGATGCCGTTTCTCAGAGAAACATCGCTATGACGGAATACTCAGAGGTAACTGAGAAACTCTCGGAGCTGCGCAACCAGAAGCAGAAGCTGTCTCGGCAAGTAAGGGACAAAGAGGAGGAGCTCGATGGAGCCATGCAAAAGAACGACAGTCTGCGAAACGAACTGCGCAAGTCAGACAAAACGCGGAGGGAGTTGGAGCTGCACATCGAGGAAGCCGTCATCGAAGCTGCCAAAGAGAAGAAGCTGCGTGAGCATGCCGAGGATTGCTGCAGGCAGCTGCAGTTGGAGCTGCGAAAGGGCTCCTCGAGTGTGGATACCTCTCTGCCCATAAGCATTTCATCGGAGATGTCGTCGTACGAAATCGAAAGACTGGAACTGCAGTTCTCCGAAAAGCTAAGTCACCAGAAAACGCGTCACAATATGGAGTTGGAAACGCTACGGGAGCAGTTTAGCGAGTTGGAGAACTTAAACTTGGAGCTCACCAAGGAATTGCAGCAAACACAGGACAGACTGAAGTACACCCAATTGGAATCAATTACCGATTCGGCAGACACGCTCTTGGAATTGAAGAAGCAGCATGACTTAGAGAAGACTTCCTGGATCGAGGAGAAGCAGAGGTTAAGCTCAGAAGTAAATCTCAAATCAAAAAGCCTAAAGGAACTTCAAGCAGAGGACGACGAGATATTCAAGGAGTTGCGAATGAAGCGGGAGGCCATTACATTGTGGGAGCGGCAAATGGCGGAGATCATTCAATGGGTGTCCGATGAAAAGGATGCACGCGGCTACCTACAGGCACTGGCCACCAAAATGACGGAGGAGTTGGAGTATCTGAAGCATGTGGGTACCTTCAACAACAACGGTGTGGACAATAAAAACTGGCGGAATCGCCGCTCCCAGAAGCTGGACAAGATGGAGCTGCTTAACCTGCAGAGTGCACTGCAAAGGGAGATTCAGGCAAAGGCGATGATATCGGATGAGCTGAGTCAAACCAGATCAGATCTGATATCCACGCAGAAGGAGGTACGGGACTACAAGAAGCGCTATGACTCCATTCTGCATGACTTTCAAAAAAAAGAAACGGAGCTGCGGGACTTGCAAAAGGGAGGCTTGGAATACTCTGAATCATTCCTGAACAAATCCACTCATCATGGCCTAAGCAGCGCCTTTTTCCGTGACATGTCGAAGAACTCTGAGACAATAGATTCTGCCGAAAGCTTTGGCAATGAGTCCGGGGACAATTTTATCGGAACTCCCAGCTTCTTCCAGTCCGGCAATTCGGGCATGCTCTTCAATTATGAGCCAAAGTATGCAGGCAAAAACAGCAAGGACAACTCGGCTATGAAAGATATCTCGGTCAGCGATTTGTCACGTGAGGAGAGTGACCTGCTGGTCAAAGAATCTCAAAAAAAACTGCCTGGTAATACGGCGATTCATCAGTTCCTGGTGCGCACCTTTAGTAGCCCCACGAAATGCAATCACTGCACATCGCTGATGGTGGGTCTCACACGGCAAGGAGTAGTGTGCGAGATCTGCGGATTCGCCTGTCACACGATCTGCTGCCAGAAGGTTCCAACAACATGCCCCGTACCCATGGATCAAACGAAGCGTCCGCTGGGCATCGATCCCACTAGGGGAATTGGCACCGCCTACGAAGGCTACGTGAAAGTGCCTAAATCTGGGGTGATTAAGCGTGGCTGGATCAGACAATTTGTGGTCGTTTGCGACTTCAAGCTGTTCCTCTACGACATTTCACCCGATCGATGTGCTTTGCCCAGCGTGAGTGTGTCCCAAGTGCTGGATATGCGGGATCCTGAGTTCTCCGTGGGGAGTGTGCGGGAAAGTGACGTCATTCATGCAGCCAAGAAAGATGTGCCATGTATTTTCAAGGTAAACCGGAGTGCTATTAACACGACTTCTTATGAAATTAAGCATTAATCTTTCTGCCTTCCAGATAAAAACTGCCCTTATTGATGGTGGGCTCTCGTTAAACACCCTTATGTTAGCCGACAACGAGTCGGAAAAGTCCAAATGGGTCATTGCCCTGGGCGAACTACATCGAATATTAAAACGAAACAGCTTACCAAATACTGCTATATTTAAAGTTAATGAAATTTTGGACAATACCTTGTCTTTAATACGAAACGCATTGTGTTCTGTCATCATATATCCAAATCAAATATTGCTGGGGACAGAAGACGGCTTGTTTTACATTAATCTCGATCAGTACGGTAAGTAATCATGTTTATGCGAAAGTAAAAACACAAACACGGTAATTGGCAACTAATATTTTCAGAAATCGCTCGTATTGGAGAAAGCAAGAAGATTCTTCAACTATGGTACATTGAAGAGGAGCAGATTCTCGTTATTCTTTGCGGAAAACAACGCAATTTGCGATTGTTACCCATAAGGGCATTAGAGGCTAGTGATGTCGAGTGGATCAAAGTGATTGAATCGAAAAACTGCATATCTGCTTGTACTGGAATCATTCGCCGTTTCCCCAACATCGTCTATTCATTTATTATCGCGCTAAAACGGCCCAATAACCACACACAAATCGTAGTTTACGAGATAAATAGAACGCGCACAAGGCACCAGAAGACTTGCGAATTCACCATCGGCTACATGGCCCAGCATCTGCAGATCCTATCCGATATGCGATTAGTTGTAGCTCACCAAAGTGGCTTTACCGCCTATTTCCTGCGAGGAGAAGCCACGGCAATGTGTGAGTAATGATATTTTTGTGTTTAGTTTTATTTTTCCTAACATATATGTCTTTTTCAATAGCTTTGGTACACCCGGAAAACCAGTTATGTGCATTTTTGAACTATTCTGGTGTTGATGCGGTTAGGGTTATTGAAATTCTGTGCCCAAGTGGCGGAAACTTTGGAGAGTACTTACTGGTGTTCCAAACTTTGGCAATATACGTCGACCTACAGGGGCGAAAGTCTCGGGATAGGGAAATAATGTATCCAGCCTTTCCAACATATATAAGTGAGCTATAACACAAGTTTGTAATGACGCATTCTATATAATTGTTCTTTGTATGTTTACTAGCCTTTTGTGATGGCCATTTGCTTGTGTTCTCGGATACACATTTGGATATCTTCAACACACAGACCGCTGAATGGGTGCAATCGATTGGCCTGAAACAATCCCTTCCCCTAAATAATCTGGGAAATGTGGTGTTGGCCTCAGTTAATGACACCCCCTTGATTGTTTACCTGTCCAATATTCACACAAGTAAGTTAGTGATTATTATATATATGGTGTTAATAATAATTTGTTCTTTTCAGAGGGCCTTCTGCAATATCGTGAGGGAAATCGAAAAGGACTTCCGAGCATTAAGCGGAGATTTTCCATTAGGGAGATAAACAAAACCATTAAAAGGTTGGGATTAAGTTACTGAATCGGCGCAACAAATCCATAACATCATTCTATTCTTGTAGTGATCGTAGATCAAAAATGATATCAGCACCGACAAATTTCAACCACATTTCTCACATGGGACCAGGGGATGGCATTCAAAATCAACGACTTTTAGACTTACCAACAACGCTCGAAACAGCCGATCAAGCCTGCAGTCCAATAATACATTCGCTGAGTTCCATAACCCAAACTAGAAAATCAAATTTTCTAGAACAAGGCAAGACCTTTTAAATTGCTAGATCTCGTCGAATTTGAGTAATTTAGTTGAATTTTATTATGCTTTCAGTGGATGCAATCTCCGATGACTATGGCAATGATAATATAATCTCTAGAACCCCCAGTCCAATGGCATCGTCTTTTATGGACGGCTTAAGCAATAACGATTAATTTCAGTCAAATCTCTACATATGTAATTTACTCGATTTTTTAAGATAACTGTTTGTAATAAACATATTTAATTTCTCGAATATCAATCAGAAGCGTCTTAATTTGTTGTTGCTTGTCAAAGCTTACATAAAAATAAACTCAACATTAATATGATATACCGATTTTAATCAAACACAAAGTATTGATCCAAAAAGAGGACGGAAATAAAAACCAAAAAACTCTAGTTTTGGTTTATGAAAAATGCCGAAAAAATCAACTTTTCTTTCGGTTTTTTGTGAAAACGCTAGGAAATAATGTTCTGCTGTTGGAATGTCATACCTCCTTGAATTGGTTGTAAAATTTCCAATCAAAGCTCAACATTTTCATTTTGGTCGATTTTTCGCCAAAATGGATGATGTAACCCCTTATCAAAAATGCCGAAAACCGGAGATCCGGAAAAGTGCACTTTTATTTCGGTTTTTTGATCAAAAACCTGGGAAATAATGGTCACATGTTGGAATGCCATACCTCGTTGAAATCGTTATAAAATTTCCAATCGAGTGGCATTCACAGCTCAACATTTTCATTTTGGTCGATTTTTCGCAGAAATGGATGATGTAACCCCTTATCAAAAATGCCGAAAACCGGAGATCCGGAAAAATCAACTTTTTTTTCGTTTTTTTGATCACATGTTGGAATGCCATACCTCGTTGAAATCGTTATAAAATTTCCAATCGAGTGGCATTCACAGCTCAAAATTTTCATTTTGGTCGATTTTTCGCCAAAATGGATGATGTAACCCCTTATCAAAAATGCCGAAACCGGAGATCCGGAAAAGTCAACTTTTATTTCGGTTTTTTGATCATAACCCTGGGAAAAAATGGTCTGCTGCTGGAATGTCATACCTCGCTGAATTCGTTATAAAATTTCCAATCGAGTGGCATTCACAGCTCAAAATTTTCATTTTGGTCGATTTTTCGCCAAAATGGATGATGTAACCCCTTATCAAAAATGCCGAAACCGGAGATCCGGAAAAGTCAACTTTTATTTCGGTTTTTTGATCATAACCCTGGGAAAAAATGGTCTGCTGCTGGAATGTCATACCTCGCTGAATTCGTTATAAAATTTCCAATCGAGTGGCATTCACAGCTCAAAATTTTCATTTTGGTCGATTTTTCGCCAAAATGGATGATGTAACCCCTTATCAAAAATGCCGAAAACCGGAGATCCGGAAAAGTCAACTTTTATTTCGGTTTTTTGATCATAACCCTGGGAAAAAATGGTCTGCTGCTGGAATGTCATACCTCGCTGAATTCGTTATAAAATTTCCAATCGAGTGGCATTCACAGCTCAAAATTTTCATTTTGGTCGATTTTTCGCAAATATAGATGAAAAATCAACTTTTATTTCAGTTTTTTGATCAAAACCCTTGGAAAAACCCTGGAAAATAATGGTCAAATGTTGGAATGTCATACCTCGTTGAATTCGTTATAAAATTTCCAATCGATTTGCATCCCCAACTGAAAAATTTAATTTAAGACCAATTTTCGTCAAAAACCATGAGCGATCCCATATAAAAACTGCGATATTGGGTCAAAAACTATATTTTGGAAAATCAGCCTAGAACCGAAAGTTTAGGTTCTCAGCTGCACAAAACAGTTATTCTTTTGAATGTGCGTGTTTTTTGACGAAGTTCAAGCACAAAAAATTAATTTTTAGGTTTTAATGATCATGAGTTGGAAGGGTAATGGTATCATATTATTATTATTCACTGCGTTACAAACTTCTGACCCCTGAAATGCTATAAAAAGTCAACTGATTTGAATTTCCTTGAGTAGTTCTGTTTTATTTGTATACTTAGTTGCATGATAAATACATACATTAAAAATCTTTGATTTGTACACAGAAATCTTCAATATTAATATATTTCTTATTTCATAGCCTATCGTAACCTACTTCTTTGATTTTTTCTTCTTTTTCAAAATCTTGCTCTTCTTTTTGCTTTTCAGATCCTTGCGTTTTTCGCTTCTCAACGATTCCGTTGACGAATATTTAGCATGTTTCTTTAGTTTCTTATCCTTTTGCTTTCTATGTTCTATGCTGTTGTCCGAGGACGCACCCTCATTTTGTATCGTATTATCATATTTTACAACCAAACTGCTCGACGAACTATTGTCGACGAATTTCCGGAACGGATTGTCTGGACGACAGGGCTTAGGCTTAGGAGGAGCTGCAACAGCTGTAACGGAGGATACCACTCGGCCGTCACTGGACTTAGCGTTTCTAGCCCCCCTTCGATCCGAGTCATCGCTATTGATTTGATCATATTTTGCGAGCTTAGGGTCGGAACGGTCTTTATACGGTCGCCTTTGCTTGTCGTCCTCGGGAGTACTCCGCTTATACGAACGCTCCTGCCTTTTCTCCGACGGCGCAGTTCTGTCCCGGGATCTGTTCTCTCTTTTCCTGCTGCCATGACGATCTGATCTTCCACGATTCGCATCGTCGTCGGAGCTCTTGCCTGTCGCCTCCCTCCGTCTGGATTTCGACTTGTCCGGCGAACGGCTTCTTTCACTTAGAACTTTATTGCCCAACCTTTCCTTTACCGACTTGCTGCTGGTACGTTTGGGCGAGGGCGAGCGATCCTTGTCATTTCTAATTACAGAACGGTCCTTGCTGTTGCCCTTGGAATTGATGATAACTTGAAATTCAACTGGCCTTATGGCATTTATAGCCTTGGCAAATATCGCGTTTTCAGCTTTACGCAGGACATCCGAAGTTATTTCGGACTGGTCGTCCAACAGGCCGCCAGACTTTTTCGAAGAATCTTCCAAACCTAAATTATTCTCCTCCAGTTCCCATTTTGATAGATTGACAGAATTAGCCTCGCAGCGCTTACTTCTTGGGCCGAGGTTATCGTCAGTGGCAACATCCATATTTAAGGAAGAAAGGCTCTTTTTAGGATTTTGGTTTTCTGTAGCGTTGCGGGCAGGAGATTTAGCAGCAGATTCGATGTCAAAGTTGGGACTGACCCTTGGAGATAACAAGATTTTATAGTTTGTTTCATTTAGCAATGAACTGTTGTTAATATCCGAATCAGAACGATTTATTGAAGAGCTCTTCTTCTGACGGTCGCCCTTCTCCTTTTTAGCCCGCTTATCCTTCTTGCTTTTCTTGCGTTCAGCCTTGTCCTTCTTCTTCTTTTTACGTTCCTTTGATGAAGGACTTTTAGCCTTGTTCTCCTTTCCCACATGTGGCCCCATTTCCGAGTCGTCAATATCGGGCTGGGAGGTATTAGCTCTAGCCTTTGCTAGCAAATACTCATCGTGGGCCCTTTCCGGCGTTTTCGGTGAACATTCACGTTCACGTAACTGAGTAGAAGTCATTTTCGGAGTGGTAATCTTCGCTGGCGGCGTTAAGCTCCTATAGCTACTGTCTGTCGGCTTGGACTCCTTGCTCTTGCTGCGAGACCTGTGCCTTTTGCGTGGCACCTCTTCGTGCCTGCTCTCCTCGTTCTTCTTGCTGCTTCCGCCCTTGCTGCTGCTGCCATGTGATGCTTCTGAGCTGGCAAGGTGTTTGTTCTTGTAGCCATCGTCATCCGTCAGCTGCAACGGCTCGAATCCGGGCGGAGGAGGCTCAACAGGCTCTGGTTTTGGTGCATAAGGCTTGCTGTATGGCTTATCTCTGTAATCACTCTTATAAGCCGGCTTTGGTGACGTAGAGCGACGATGCCCAGATCTAAACAGCAAAAGAGAAGACCACACCATTTAGCCAAAAACTATATTTTTAAATTTAAATAAACTGAAAGTACCTTTTGATCCTGCCACCTGGTGATTTGGAGCCATCGCCGGGCTGTCGACTAGAACGTGGATGACGCATATGACGTTCGTAGCTGTATTCTCGTTTTCTCTCTCGAGATCGCGGCCTCTTGTCCTTGAGATTATCTCTGGGGCCATCCTTTTCGTACATGGGGGATTTAAAGCGGTGCCTCTGTCTGTCCGGCGATCTCGACCTGTGATGATCTGTACTGCGAAATCGGTCTACCTTCTTGCGTTCCTTCTCCTTCATGATGCGATTAAAGGCCTCCAATGGGTCGTCAATTAGACTGCAAATTATTATGAGTTATTACCCTATTATTTGCAATTACTTTGCAGCACTCACCCTGAGCCAACCTTGGCTGCTACCCCTTGATATATCGAGGCTAAATTTGGGGACTGAAATGGTTGTGACATATTCATATTCATACTTCCGCCAGAAGATCCGTAAGGCGTACGCATGGGATGTACGGATTGGTTTTGATACGGCACATAGCTGCAATTTCAGAAGTTTATTACAATTCAAAAAGCTTAACGTTGATTGTAAGCAATACTGTTTTAATGAAAAATACTAATATTAACCAATAATCAACAAAGCATAAAGGCTAGAAAGCCCACAGCTTAAAATACTCTTAACTAGGTGTCTCAGTTGGAACTTAAATATATTGAGATCAGGCAGGACCGGCTGCGCATGGATTCGTCTAGAGCCTCGGAATTCCAGTGGCTTGTCGATATTCGGTCCACTTGATGGTTTGATCCGGAGGGTTGGAAAAGAAACCTACCTTAGAGGAGGCCTCTGTCCCATGTTGTTATAGCCGTTGTTGTAGGCTGGCATATGGTGACTCATCATGTGCATCGGAGGTGGACCCCGTTGCATTTGCATATCCTGAAATGTATACTTAAATGCACTCGATCGGCGAGCGTCCTCCGATTCGCTCATCATGTGCCCTTGGTAGCTGGGCACAGTGCCAATGGGCGTGGGCAGAAGACTCCGTTCCTTGTGACCAGACTCCGATTTTGATGGACGATGGTGCTTCTGATCGTGGTCCGAAGCGTAATCCGACCTCTCTCGTCGGTGAGTGGATTCACCCGACTTATGGGAATAAGTGGGAGATCTCTGAAACCATAGTATAAATTCATTAATAAAGCGAACCTTATTATTAAGCTAAGAGTTATTTCTCACCTTGCTTGGCGCTGATGTCGAATCAGCAGAAGGTTGGGGCATTTTGATGGTTATATTATCCTCATAGTCTGAATCATATTTATCTTTTTCCTTTTGTAACGGCTCTACCGTTGGAGGAGGTTCCGGCGACTCCGATTTCGGTGGCTTCTTGCCATTAGTTTCCGTTTCTTCTTGCTTTTCAGTTTTTACCTCAGCTGCCTCTTCGGTTTCCTCCTCCTCGACCGGCTTTTCCTCCACTTCATTTTCAACAGGAGGTTTGTCCTCATTTTTCACTGCGGCTAACAAAAGAAAGTTTATTATATAATTTCAGCGTTGCTTAGTTTTAACCGTCTTACCTGATTTAACCGCACTTATTTTGTAGCCAGTCTCGTTTTTAAAGGCGTTAACAGAATTCCTTAAAAATCGGTTAGGAATTAATGAGCCAGGTGAGCAGTTCTTCTCCTTGCAATCGGGACACTCGCTATCCTCGGACTCCAATAACGAAGTGCGTACACAGTCATCGCAAAAGGAACTTCCGCAGCAAGGTATCATGACGGCATCGACGAATATATCACGGCATATGCCGCATATTAAATCTTCGGGAATCTCCTGGTTTTGAACTGCAGGCAAAACAAAATCAGAGGATTCATTCTCTGCCGCATCTGGTTTGTCTCTAAAAGACCGCGGTATCCCGGTGTTTCTTTTGACCTCTTGCTGATCTTTTCCCAATATGAAGGGACAGTTCTTGATCCAGTGTCCGCTCTTCTTGCATTTGTTGCATCGGTAGGATGCTGGAACTTCGCCCACTTGAGATTGCCCTTTAATCCGATGGTACCTGAACAGATTAAACATTAGAAATTGGGGATTCTTTAAATTTTCAAAGCACTTACGTCTTGGGATCATAGTCAACAGTACTTTGCATCATCATGGCTTGAATTTTGTCCTCCTCACTGCCTTGCATTTTGGACAGGTCCATGTTGAAGTTGTCCTGTTTGGTTGGCGCCGTTGCGAACGCATTTTCAGAAGCCGGTGGCTCCCAGCCCTTCTTCGTGGGATGGGCAATGGGTATGCGCGATATGATTAGCGTGGTGTTTTTGGGGATAAGCACTCCATCGTCCTTGTACTCTGCGGGCAAATTCGTCATGTAGCTGGGAAATATTTCTGAATCATAGCGTACAAACCTTCTTTACTCTGCGCATTTGTGATTTGAAGATCGAAGTCAATTATTTTACCCAAACGCTTTTGCTGCACAATCTCTCTTTTCAAGTCCCCAACGGAAATGTGAAGTCCATCAAATGTTATTGTATCAAAATTGAGGGTACTCTTAAATTTATAGTGTACCGACATAATTAAATACAGAAGAAATCTGCGATGGAAAGATAAAAACTTGATTATCTTATAGTGTTCAAGGCAATTCGGTTATCAGAGTCAACTCAGGTGGAATAGAGAATATATTTCATAAATATCTTAATAATCAAACAGATAAAGCCGTTTACATAACGGAGGGCTTAAACAAACAGCTAAAACGTGTGACGGCGTTGCTGCAATCTCTAAAAACCTGGTTGACACGCTTTCGTGCCCCGACCCAGACTAAATTAATGCCTTGCAATATCCTATAACTTGTAATTGTTCCCTTAAAAAAAGAACAAATTAAATCACTAAAAACCAATTAAAAAATGGTTTTAAAAGAAGTCAGCCGCGAGCTTTAGACCACCCATATAAATTGGTCTTTAATAAGATTAGGTAAAAGTGCAAGTGCGTATGCAAATAATTTCTATATGCATTTTAGTCAAATTCGGTTATAAATAGAACGCATTGGCCCTTTACCAATAAAGCCAAAATAAATGGATCGCGTTCTTTTTATTTGATCCACGCACAATTATGCCAACATAAGTTTATACATATGTACATATGTGAAATCGTACAATTGCCCGAATAAGCCCAATAAATATCATGTATATAGTCATACAATTGATTATTCTAACGCATTGTTTGCAAGCAGCGTGACGCGTTGCACTTATATTGCAATTATGCTAACAGCATAAAATTGCATGTGCACAAAAACACACACGCGAAAACATACTTATGACATACATACATCGGTTTTCCCTCAAAATAATAGCTAGTTCATCTTTTAATTAGCTTTAAACTATGTTTTAGGTTAAAGGGCAACGCACATAACTCGCAATGTTTACTACCGGCAAGCAATAATCACAAAAATAGCAATTACTTACACCACTTCGCAAGCACATAAAAACTCCGACGATTTTATTTTTTTCCAATGTCTAGAGATGTGTAAATGCCGCAAAAGTCCTAGCGATGTGGAATGCGGCTTGCGCCAGATCAATCGATAGTGTTAAAAGTTATCGGTGTCAAGGTGTAACTATTCATTGCTATAAAGGTTATGTGCTGGAAAATGTATTTCAATTTAATTGCTTAATTGCTGTCAAAATGAACTTAAAAACTTTTAAAATTTATATTTAATTGACAAATGACTTGTGGTCACGTAGTTCAACAAGCATTCTCTCCCAATTGGAACGATGGAAAGGAATGCAAAAAATATCAACCGTTCCTTTGCAAAATCTTAAAACAGCTGTAAGTTTCTGTAAACTATTGGACCCAAATAAAATAATAAAACCACATTAATTCCAGGAATAAAAAGGGTAAAAAATTTATTAACAGCAGTTAAACGAAACTACAACCATTCATTTCTTATCTAATAATAATCCAAAAAATTCGATGAAATCTTAATTTAGACTTAATTTTATTATTTACATTAACAACTTTTGCGACAAAGTGCATATACAATCTAATAAAATCTATTTTTTTGTATCACCGCCTTTTGATATTTGCACATGAACTTAATTATAATACAGGGCTCCTGATTAGAGCAGATGAAGTAATAGGTTTTGGGTGCTCGCACTTACATCGATGGATTTAAGAATTAGCCAACATAGGCAAAGGGATTGTATGGTGGCGGATAATAGTTCGGGAAAGATTGACCGGGCTGACCGGGAATAGTAGCTGTTATTAATCGTGTAACAGCTGTTGGAACGACGGAAGTGGAAAATATTGTGGTGTAAGCGGTTCTTGCACCAAAAGTCAGTTTCAAAACTTTGGAACTCGTTTCCGTTACCATGGATTGCTGAACTTCAGTGGATGTAATAAACTGCTGTGGGGGAAGGGGCAATAATGGGTTGTACGGATTGAATGGGTTAATTGAGAATGGATATTGTGATGATGGAATTGATGGAATTGGCATCGAAATTGTAGCCACATCCGTTATGTATTCCGTTTTTTCAACTACCCCAACAGACTTTGAAAGCGTTCTCATGATGGTTTCGGTTCCTCTAACCAGGGGAACCACATGGGATTCCCAAATTGTTTCCAGTTTTATGACAGGACGCGTTGAAGTTATCAAGTTGTTTTGCAGGTTGTCTGGGAAGCTAATCGATTCCGGTATTAATGGGTTGCTTATATTATTTTTAACGTCCACTTTTATTTTTGGTTTGATTTTCGCGTCAAACTTGCCGGTATTATCTTCATCCCCGAACTCAAGGTCCAAGTTAATTTCGGACCCTGCCTCGTCCAAACTTCCTTCAAAGTCCTTAAAGTTCTTCGATGGAGAGAAGTCTTCGCTCAATGGGGATATTGTCTGCGTGACGGTGATAAGGCTCGTATAATCATATGTCTGAACCAGCGTTACTTGGATCGTTTCATTTCTCTTTTCAAATATAATAGGCAGGATCTGAGTTTTCAGCTTAGTGTGAGTTATGGAAAAGGACTCTGTTACTGTCTCCAAGCTGGGAGTTTCCGACTCTTCTCCCAAATAAATGGGTTTCAATGTCGTTATACTACCCGCCAAAGATTTATCCTCGGTGCTGGCTGTAGCCTCTAAAATATTCTCTGTCAAAGGTCCATCATCTTCAGAGTATTCTTTAGTGTGCTCCTCTTGAATTACTTTCTCTATTGTTGAAGTAACGGTCAAAAAACGCGTTTTCTTAACCACTCCAGCCTGAAATAATAGAAAAGTTTTATTACTGCTGCATAGGGATCAACGACTAAGAAATAATAGTCTTATACTAATTAACAAAATTAAAATAATACAATTACCTGAAAGATAAAAGGTGTTTTAATGGTGGCAATTTCATAATAGGTATCAATGAAAGGTTGAGGTGTCGATATTTCAACGTTCAGTGTTTGCACAAAGTATTTAGAGTTGGGATCATCATTATTATTATTCGCAACAGGACCATTTTGGGAACCAGAAGCCTCTAGATCTCTTCCGTTGTTGAGAGCCTGATTGGTAATGATTTCAACAGGGGTCTCATCATTTGGAGAAGTTTCGTTTTGGATGGGGCTCGGTACATTGGGGCTAGCATTCTTCCTAATGTTAACTTTGGGCTTCGGTGAGGACTTGTATTGCCATCTTCCAGGACGCCTATTTAACTTAAATGAATTGGGGCTAACAACCGATACTGGTTCTTCCTGTACAGCATTTGCATTTGCTTTCGTCCGATATGAGTGACGAGAGGTAGTTTCTGTTACTGATGGAGTTATTGTCAGTTTGGAACTTTGGGTGTGTTTGTTCCTCCTGAAATTAAATTTGGCACGATAGAGAACATTTATATAAATAGCAAAAGTTTGGGTAATTATAAGTTAGTATTTTTTAATCTTTCTCTGAAGAAAACTATGGACTTACCTTTTTCCTTTGGGCCGCGAAGACTTTCTAGTAGTTGATGATCCCCTATTGTCGCGACTACTTTGTTGGCTTTTGCGTGGCGGTTTGCTGGATAACTGAGTCTGAGAATTCGACTCTTTCAATGTTCTACTCGGTTGAATCGAGCCCGTAACTGGCTTGTTTATGCGCGTCTGTCGTGGCTTACTCTTTTTCTCAACGCTCGAAATGGGATGTACCTGAGATACCTTTGAGAATTTTCCGGACTCCTTAGTTGCCGTCACAATGCTCCTAAATTCTTGACTTGATCTTGTTTGATAGCCATGAATGGGTTCTTTCTTAGATTGATATATCCTTTGCCGGTCGGCTTCGTTTTTGGATTTAAAATTAACTAAACGATATGTTTCTTCCGCAAACTGCTCAGGCTGACGAGAGAGCAAATCGTATTCAGGGGTATTCAAAAGAGTTTGGATGGGCGAGTTCGAGAGACTTATATTGTAAGATTCTATCTGGGATGTTTCAGTTTCGGAATTAACATTCGAATGAGTCACAATTAGGGGCGTTGGCTTAATTCCAACCTTTTCCTTTTCTTTTTTAGTTACTTTCGGTTTAGTTTCTATGATATTTATTATCTCGTGAGTATTGTTGGATTTAAGTTCTAAAAAACAAACACATAGTTATTATTTACGTATATTTAAATTAACAAAATAATCTAATTTGCATTAATAAACAGTAATTAACTTACCGAAGGCTGGAGAGCTTTGGGGTGAGAACACCATAACAGTATTCCCAATAGTAGTTGTAAAATCCAAAAATCCGTAAACAGTTTGAGTTAGTAACTCAGTGTCACCGCAAGTAACTAGAGGAAATGTATCCGAAATCGGGTTTTTAGTTTTAATTATTTACTACAAATTCGTATTAAGATAAGTTATTATTTACATTAAATACATTACAAAAATGTATTCTTTTGTTTGCTTATTTTATAGCCAGATTTATATTTAGTCATAGAATAAAAAATATACATTTTAATTATATTTTAGTTTCAGAAATATTTGAGATAAAGGATAAATGACAAAGACAAAGTTGTATTTCAATAACCGCGTTTTTAAGAAACCGAGTTTTTTAATTGATAGGCACTTTAAAAAAAACATCAGAGGACTTTACATAAGACTTGATGATTTAATATTATAAAAAATTTTTGTTTTACCTATTTTACTATACTATTTTTTTGTTTATTGCTTAAAACTTTTTATTCCAACCAAATAAGAACAAAATTAGCCATTGAGGCGTTAGTAAAATTACGAACAAATAGGCTTATTATGTGAGTTTCATTCATGTGAGTTTTCATTAGAAAAGAGGTGTTAAAAAAGTAAAACTCAAGGTATATAAACTTACCGCTTTTTAAGGCGCAAAGAATTAGCAGATAGCGCAACATATTTGTAAATTGGAACAGGTCAAAAGCTTAGAAAAATTTAATAATACCTGTAAAGCCAAGAAAGTAAATATTCACAAATTTATAAACGGTTAGTAGGCAATTAAAAGCTTTCACCTAAAACGATTTAAAAAGTGGTTATTCATTAACTGTTTTTTAATAAATTGTAGCAAATGTATTACCAAAAAAAGTTAAAAAACGTAAAACCCTATAAGATTATTACGATTATTTTTTATTACACTTTATTGCGTAGGGTTTAATTAAAATGCCATAAACTTTTTAATTGGCCACTATGACACTTGTTGCTGTGTACGATTTTTTGCCAGCATGTGGGCATTAAAAGTGAGTGTTGTCCATTGAGTGAATTATCTATGCAAGTAGGTCTGTTATGTAAAGTTTTATGTACTCATACAATACGGTTAACTTTGTTTGGATTTCGTATGGTCGAATTGTGATTGATCATTAGTTACAAAATTTTTTGTTTGAGCCAATTTGCTGACAAGCGACTCGTGTATCGTTAAGTTTATTTATCGACCGCTAACTTTTGGCATTGAATTGAATTGGTAAAAACTGGGTAGGGTGACCCATAATGATAAAACACATACATCTATGTAATCTTTCGATCTTTTAAAGCGGTAGATCACTTTGGTATTTCAAAGGCACTTGCAAAATGCTTTGGCTCCCAGAACTGGTCAGATCACTTTTTGAAAACATTGAAACTAGTAATAGAGTGCGGGTAATTTTCGCACCCACTGTATGTAACCACTCAACTAATGCACACGCACACTTTAAAGCACAAAGACAATGAAACATTAGGTCATTGAGAAACACATTCGATAGAGAAAGGCTTCCAGTTTCAGGTCCCCACACAAAAGATAATAAATTCAGTTTCTTTTCTGCGACGGGATAAATCACTTACACTTCGTTTAGGGTGTGGGTTTTTAATGGTAACTCATATTTCTTATGTTCGCCACTAACATACCACATACATACACTTTTAAAAATGCATTTTTTTTCAACACGATTTTAGGTGGTAATTCGATGCAACAAAGCACTGATCTGATTAAAACATATTCCGAGCGAAATCATTAAAACACTCTGCTGGCCAAGACAATAATTATGAAACTGTAACGAAAAGATATTCGTGAGTCCAATGCGAAGCATAAAGCTGAAGTGACTCCGAATCCGAATCCAAAGTTACCATGGCCTGCACACATGCGCAATGTCTCGAAGAGAACGTCAACATCGTTAATTGTGGTTGGCCAAAGCAGTAGGGTTACTCGATCCAATCCAAAAACCAGTTTGCCACTCTTGCTTTTCCGTTTCGATACGCCGTGGGAATATGTAAACTTTCAATGGACGAACGGCGATTTCTCGCTCTATCCGGCGAATCTGAAAAGGTTTCTCTAGCCAACCGTCTTTAAAAAATATCATTTTTCGAAAAAACCATGTAAGATTTGTATTTTAGTGGCTACAAATGTTTCAAACATGACTTTATTTTTATTTGATATGTAAGCTTAAGGTGAAATATTGTATTTTCTTGTGTTAATGCAGCATTTATTTTGTGTGTATATCTTTTCCTTAATTTTTTATGATTTCAGATATACATTTAAGATTTATTCTATTATCTTTTTAAATAAATCAAAAAGGTAGGATTTTTTTCTTTTATTTAAAGTATTACAATTTTTTGTGGATATTGTTACTTAAATGCATTTTGATAATTTTTGTTCGCACGGAACTTTTCAAATAAAAAGAAATTGGTCAAGATTTCTTTACAGAAGGCCTACGTTTATTGAAGCTTAGATCATTTGAATATTATTGTTCATTCCAACGGGCCTGGCAACAGTCATAGGCCATGCCCATCCCAAATCCGAGGCCCAGCCAAATCGGATAGGTTTGTGGGCGCGTAAAAAATAAGGTAAAAACGCTGCCAATTATCAAACCACTTCCGCCCTTCATGCAAAAGTCCGCCAGGCATTTGTCCGTGGTGATGGTCTCTTCACTCAAAACTGCAGGCTCCTTTTTTGGCTGTTTGTCGGGCTTATGCGGTTCATGAGACATTTTCGATCTTAAAGGGAATTTTAAAAAATTTGTGGAAGTATTATTACTTATGGGGAGTTTGACATTTAATCCAAATAGATAAAGAGTAAAATTCTAAAGAGTCGTGACGAAAAATATATAAAAAATTGTACAATGCTTAAAATACCCTAAAATTTGCTAATTAACATAGAGCTAAAGAATTCGCGGCTTAAAATATTGTATTTCTTACAAAAAATTTTGAAATCTTGAAAACTTATTACGAAAATTATGTTATTTCTTCGAAAATTGGGCCATAGGGGGTTAACAGCATTCCGATGGTGACGTAGGCTAAATAAATAAGGGCAACCTCAGCGAAAGGAGATGGATGAGTGCCATAGTTACAAAATGCTAGGCAACAATATTTATACCCTTGCAGAGGGTATTATAATTTTGGTCAAAAGTGTGCAACGCAGTGAAGGAGACATCTCCGACCCTATAAAGTATATATATTCTTGATCAGGATCACCTCCTGAGTTGATATAGCCATGTCCGTCTGTCCGTCTGTCCGTCTGTCCGTCTGTCCGTCTGTCTGTCCGTCTGTCTGTTTCTACGCGAACTAGTCTCTCAGTTTTAAAGATATCGAATTGAAACTTTGCACACACCCTTCTTTCCTTTGCACGCAGTATATAAGTCGGAACGGCCGGGATCGGCCGACTATATCCTATAGCTGCCATATAACTGATTGATCGGAAATGCCATAACTCTGCTGTTTGTTAGGTTAGGAAGTTGGGACTTTCTATGGGTTCTATATTTGGCCAATCAATCTGACGTACCAAATTTCATAAGGATCGGCCGACTATATCTTATAGCTGCCATATAACTGATTGATCGGAAATGCCATAACTTTGGTGTTTGTAAAGTTAGGAAGTTGGGATTTTCTATGGGTTTTATATTTGGCCAATCAATCTGACGTACCAAATTTCATAAGTATCGTCCAACTATATCTTATAGCTGCCATATAACTGATTGATCGGAAATGCCATAACTTTGGTGTTTGTTAAGTTAGGAAGTTGGGATTTTCTATGGGTTTTATTTTTGCCTAATCAATCCGACATATCAAATTTCATAAGGATCGGCCGACTATATTCTATAACTGCCATATAACTGAACGATTGGAAATGCCATAACTTTGGTGTTTTTAAAGTTAGGAAGTTGGGATTTTTTATGAGTATTAAGAATGCATTATGAATGATTTTGGAGAATATAATTTGCAGAATATTCTGCAAGGGTATTTCAACTTCGGCTCCGCCCGAAGTTAGCTTTCCTTTCTTGTTTTGTGTATTTTCGCCATGGCAACCGGAAGCTCGCGTGCCTCGAAAGATTGCGAACAGTGTCGCCTAAGTTCAAAACACAGAAAGATGTGAAGGAAACGGACGAATTATGGATTGCAAAAGGAACTTTCTGGCTTATTTAGCATTGTTTTTTCACATAGTCTGTAATTATTGTTTAATACGTGTGCAATGTGTGGACGCGCCCTTTATACATATTCCGGGCAACGGAGTTATATCCGGAACGTATTTGAAAATGTTCCGAACGCAGAATATTAAAGCATATCTTGGCATTCGATACGCACATGCCAGGAGATTTCAACCGCCGGATATCGAACTAACACCGTGGAAGGGGATTTTCAACGCAACCGTTTTTCAACCGGACTGTTGGCAGAATGCCATGCCTTCCGTGGGCAAAGAAACCGAACAAATCCTACAAATCATATCTTCCGATTCGAATTCCGAAGATGGTGGCAGAAAATTCGAGGAAAACTGCTTGTATCTGAACGTTTTTGTACCTGATGGTAGGTGTTACAAGTCATTAAAATCGGTAGTAGTAGCTTTAAGATCACGGAAAATCAAATAAAATATTTTTTGATTCCTATTTTCTAAGATATTTTCTAAACTCTATAAAAATCGCTTGAAAAACTGCCTGTGTCTTAGAATTTTTTGAATTTTTCTTATATGTCGAAGTATTTTTTTTTAAATCTTGACGTCACTTAATTGAAATTTTTTAATTATCTAGGAAATTCCTAGATTATTAATTTTTTTGTGGTATTCTATGGTGACACCAATTTATGAGTTTACCTGGTTTTATTGGTAGTAAATAGTATAATCAATTGTGTTGAAGTTTTTGTTGCTATGTTATACAACATTAATTTCAAATTAATATTTTTTCTTATACAGGATTGCCCGAAATCAGTGGATATGCCGTCGTTGTATGGATCCATTCCGGCGATTTTTCTACTGGCAGTCCCGCTGATGTAGAACCATTTCAACTGGTTTTCAAGCAGAAGGTGATTGTGGTGACCTTTTCGTATCGACTGAATATCTTTGGATTTTTCACAACCGACGACGGCGAGGCCCAGGGAAACTACGGTCTGATGGACCAGTCGGCGGCGCTTTATTGGGTCAAGAAGAACATTAACTTTTTCGGAGGCGACTCCAATCGGATCACTCTGATGGGTCACGATGCGGGTGCTGTGAGTGTGGCGCTTCACATGACATCGGGTGAGTGGTCGAAGGGGGGCTTCCACAAGGCCATCATAATGTCGGGGAATCCCCTGAGTCCCGTCAAAATGCCGTACGAGTATGAGGGATCTCTGGACCAAGTCTCCAGCACTTTCGGCTGTCCGCGTAGACCAACTTCGATGTTTATTCAGTGTCTCAAGAGACTGGATGCCAAGAGACTTGCGGAAAACCTGCCCTCGGTGAGTTGGGGTCCTGTTGTTGACTTCGGATTGAGTAACACCTCGTATCCCTTCATCGAGAACCAGCCAGAGATCCTGTTCAAAAAAGGGAGCTATCACAGAGTGCCCGTCATTATAGGAGTAACCGATATGGAGGAGGTGCTGACTTTGTTTAAAGATAATCTCGATACGGATATAAGCGCTTCTGATCTGGAGGGATTTTACAACGACATCGCTGTGAACGACATGCACAAACTTGTCAGAAACTATGAGTGGTGTTCGAACTACGAGTTGATATCCGACGCCATTAACTTTATTTACGCCAATGACTCGGATATGGATGTGAAAAAAGCTAATAAACACATTATAAGTGCCCACACCGAAAAGTTTTATGTGACACCGATGCAAACGTTTGCAGATATGATAAGCAACGATAGTCAAGTTTATAGTTACCTGTTTAAGATGCGACCGAGCTCGGTACTCCAGGATCTTCCAAGTTGGATTAGTGTGCCCAAGCACTTCGATCAGGTTTTCGTCTGGGGCAATCCCTATATGACCAACTCCGTGGATTGGAAGTCAACCGATAAGAAAATCGCCGATATTATCATGACATTGTGGGCGAACTTTGCCAAGACCTCGAATCCCACAAAATCGAATGTGTACGTCAAGTGGAACGCCATGACCCCCAACAATGACTCAGTGCTTCTAATCGACCAGAGCTTCAACACGGATAATTTACTAAACAATCAGCGGCTTAACTTTTGGAAATCATTATATCCAAAAATTCTTGTCTTCTCCGCCGATTGTTGCAATTCCACATTCTCGGGTAGCGCCTTAGTGATCGCAACTTCCGTCCCAATATTATGTACTCTAACCATTATCGTTAATATATTTTGAATAAAGAACTCCTGCAAATAGATACCGCTTGGACCCTCTGTCAGTAATCTGTCCTACCGTTACTTATATTAATAAATACTTGAAAACAACAGAACCAATAAATACGGAGTTTACCATTTCTCGTTTATTAGTCGTTCGATATACCTATACCTATAGGATATTGGTTTGTTATTACGACTGCCACACATAAAAACATATTTGGGAGATTTCGTTTTCGCAAATTACACCATGAATTTTCAGTCGAAGAATGCTTTTCGATACTTATTTTCGAGACCTATACAACTCTTAAACTAATCACCACTAACTCATTCGCCTTTTATACTTTCTTAATTAAATGTCGTTGTTTTTGGAGCTAAATACAAATATTTTTTGTGGAATTACAATACTACAATACATTCTCGTCAGCCTCAAAAATATGGGCGTTCAAGAACTCGTAACCCCATATATGAATTTTGGAGCTTATTGCATATTTGGGGTCAGTGCTTGAACGCGCTTTTTTGGTCGAAAGTTTAAGCCATTGTCAATGTGCCAGCTCCGATTCCATAGCCCACACCTTTTGGTCCGTAGAATTTCCCGTAGCACGATCGGCAATATATATTGCCATCCGGTCCGTCGTTCAAGTTGGTCGAGTCCAGATACTTCCGACACTCCATGCAGTAGAAGCACAACTTGTGCCACACATTATTTTTGCTCTTCATCTGCTCCGCCGCGAAGACCATGAATCCACATCGCGGACATCCATTCTCTGACTTTTGTCCGTTGCGATCAATGGTTCCCCAACTGAAATAAAGAATCAAGGAGGTGTTTATTTTTTGGTTAATTAAATATTATTAGGTTGTACCAAATATCTGCACAGATTGTAATATATAAATTATGTAAAATAGTTGAAATCGTTTGCCCGATTCTATTAATGGGTTTCCAACTGAAACTAACAGTCGGATTTGGTAATATTGATTAGCTTTGTTCACAGTTTATAGATTGCCTTAATATAAAAACTATAATCCCTATTTCTAGGATCTTGAAACGATATATCATTGGAATGTCTCTATATCTAAACTTAAACCACGTTATACTGAGTTATTTTATTTATGTTAGAGGGTAGATTAAAAAGCTCACTTTACATGGTATCAATTCAAATTAGTACTAAATAAGTTTCAGAGATCAAAAATGAATCTAACCTTCCTAAAAAAAAGTATAATTAAAGGCTTACCAGCTGGGCGTGTACTCGTAGTTGGTGGAAACCAGAGTGGGAGTGTGTCCGTATCCGAATCCTTTGGGACCGTACATCTTGGCGTAGCAGAGTTTGCAGTAGATGTTGTCATCCGGACCATCACAGGCGAGCACGGAGTCCAATGGACGGTGGCACCTGGCGCAGTTGAAGCACTTCCTGTGCCACATCTTTCCCTTGGACAACTGCAACTCGGCGGCAAACACTGCACCCCCGCATCGCGGACATCCCTCT